CACAGAACCTTCGCCTGAGGCAATAAAACCGCTCCAATGTGTGCAACAGGTTTGTTCTCAACGGCCCAAAATGACACACACTCACTCAGGCAAAGTAGGTTTCTGAAAAATGCACTGCCGAAGTCGAGTTGCCTAATTTTAGCGGCGAACCCGAGTTCGATAGTTCAACAAACGGTTTCGGCGCTCCTTGCGACGTCGGTCGCATCGACCGTTGTGGACTATACGACACCTAGATTCGGGCTTCAGCCTGCTCTTGTCATCTTGGAACTGTCCCGGATCATCACTCTGGTTATCGGGGAATCAAAAAGGGGTCACTTCCTCTCCGATAGTTCTCGAGTCTTTGATTCGAGGCGTATGCCCGAATCCTTGCATCAATGATGAGAGGACATCCTGGAACTCCTCGAGATCTCGGCCGAAGGAAAGCTTGAACTCGAGCCTGAGTTCCGCATTTGAAGATATCCCAAGCGGGAGAGCGTCTCGGTGGGCTATCTATGAGCTACTATCTAAAGGCCTCATCGCGGCTAATGAGGAATCCTCGCCGATCGAAATCCGCCTATCTCGACAGACGACGATTTGAGGTCTCTGCCGAAGTTCTCGAGCGGTTAGAGGAAGTTGCTCCAGAGTCTCATCTTGTCCTTCGGATGTCATGGAGCATGTTTCCGACTCGTTCGATCGTCTGAGCCGATTCACTTTGATTTGTGAGCTACAGGTGCAAACAGGAGCCTCCGGCATTTCTCTATGTTTACTCGGATACCTGTTCTGCACGCCAGACGAATCAAGCAACTCAGAACCAACAATCTCAGTCGAACGCGAGACTTCATTTCGCTGCTCGAGTTTCAACTCCCTGACGGCGACAACAGCAGACAGAATAGAGAGAGATTTTTCGTCGAGTTTATCCAACAATGTTGACGGGGTTTAAATGCCCACCGAGGAATTCGGGTCCGGCACAAAAACTCCACGGGATGAAAAAATTGGTTCATCGCGGCTTCCAGATCGGCCCTCGATGGGACGGACGGCGTGGCGCCCAGGTGAATGCCTAAAAAGACTCTGTCGGAACTGGTTCGATTCAACATTCTGTCGAAAACATGGAGCGGAAACCCCGTGCATAGAAAAAGAATCTCAAACCTCCCGGGATGATACTGTCGGAGCCGCCATATCCGGAGCTACTTGCAGAGGAGGTCACAATCCATTGTGGCCATAGAATATTCAGATTGCCCAGTAGTCCTGGAAAACTATGCATTGGTAAGCCAAGCTCAATTTGCGTCTCAACAGCGGAGTGCGCGCCGCGACGAGTTGCTTCTAACTTTCCTCTCTCGAGAAGAATGTGCTTTCTACTCCTCATAGAACTTCTCTGGCTGGGGGTTTTCTTCGAGGCACGCGGGCATTTAACCAAATATGCCTACAGAGCATACAAGCAACAACGCCGATCTACCGACCGACCGACAGAGCGGCCGGTCGACGGACAGGCCTCCTTTCTTCGGTCTTCTACATACACACACTAAGTCTCGCACACATACACAATTTCTCTCCCATCATTGAAATGTGCCCGCCAAACGGGTTGCACTTGCCGGTATGCAAACTATGCGCGGGACAGGTAGATTCCTGTGGAGTTTGACATGCGGCTGTACAATGGCCGAGTATCTGGGTAATGCATCCGGTGCTGGTGGGCTTGGCCACTCTAACTCCTCAAACAGCTGCTGCAGAAGCTACTATCCTCGGACAGACGTGAAACTGCCGACTATGTAGACCTCTGGGCACCAGGACTCATCGCGCAGTGCACACTTCGGCCGACATGTTCGACTGTTGTGAGTCATCGCGGAGTCTTTGTGCGACCGTCCCGAAAGAAAGGAATATCGGATTAGAAAAGCGCTCGGGCAGGGAGGCACAATACGCTTTCACCATTCCTCAATGAGTTGTTCGATCTCCTTTCGAATCGAAGTCGAATCATCTTCCCGCGTGTAGGGTTCCGACCCAAATCGTTCGGTCATTGTTGCCGGCTTTCGAGAGGAATGAACATCCGCAAACAAGCAGGTTTCCGATTGATTCCATCCTTGTCATCGAGGAATATTCGACCAGGGCTATCGAGAAGGCCGCAGGGAGATACGAGAAAATGTTCACCGAGGATTTCCGGGCAGTGGCACAGAGCCCCTACCACCCCTTGAATCTGCCGCGGAACCCCTCGCGGAGCCTCTGGCGGACTGAATGTAGACGGTGGAATGAGGCCCTAGCTATCGGAAAACGCCTCCAATCACAAGTTGCTCTGGAGATCCGACATTTTTTGAGCAGCTGCATGATAGGTACTCCTTCCAGACTTATTTTACTACTAATACTTCTCAATGAAGATTCCCTTCGATACGACGGGTGGATCTGGCATCCGGGCAAAAACTCAGCGGAGTTTGGAGTCTTTCCTCACACTTGTAGCCTAATGTCTGGTTCGGAATCTAAACGGTCCCGATACTTGTTCTTGGTCGCAATGTAGATCGAAAATCCCCGCTCGCAGAAATACGTGCTCACAAAGAGTACGACTGAGCTCAGCCTCGGTTGTGTAGTCGAGCCCGCCAAATATTGCTTCAGCACACAACTAAACAATCGCATCCCATGCACTCTCAGGTCGATGGCTGGCGCTATTAAAATCCACTGCACGGGCTGCCGTGCTCCACCGAGTCTTGTTCGCGCGGGTTTCGAGGTGGGAAACTTATGTATTTCTGAGAATGAACCCGGAGACGTCGTATAGATATTCCTAAGCAAGAGAGGAGCTAGGAAGCCCCCTGTCAGAGCCGCAGAAAACGCTCGGCGGAACCCCAGGGCTTCTTTGTCGGATCTACGCGGAGCCCCAAAAAAGCCCGCGGAACCTAGGGGACTTGCGTTCCATAGGGTGCACAGAGGCGACCCTACCGGGCCGGACCCTCGCCGAGTCCTGCATGAGATGTCGAGGATTTCCCCGAGCTTTCAAGCGACGACTATCTCGCAGGATATGTGGACTCGATACGGTCGCCCTCAGAAACCAGTGGCCTCTACGGCGCCGATTTCTCCGATTCGCATCTCGTACTCGACCGTCGAGGCTCGGTACTGGCTCTTGCTCTCGGGCGGTACCGAACGAAGACAGAGAGAAATATGAGGTCTCTCGTTTCAACACCTTCGGTGCTGGTACGACGTGCTTGTTGAATAGAAACTAAATTGAACTAAATTGGGCGTTGGCTCAAATACCCGTGACGCGACTCCCGAGAACACAGACGCGAAAACCTGTCCTATGTAGTTTGTTGACCGCCTCTGTCGGCCATGTGCACTGGTTTCGCATTCCAATGGAACTTTTTAGAAATTTTTCTGCAGTCCTGTTTTTTGCCAGTCCGAATGCGGGTCTCCAATGCGTACTCATCGAGATCCAGGCACCGATCAGACAGAATGTGCTTGTTCTGCTTATCTGTTCATCTTCAGCTACGAATTTCTCATTTCCTGCTCGATAGTCTTCGCGAGCTTCTGAATAGAGAGCTTGGTCGGTGGCGGAGCCGTCCATGCTCTTTAGGGTTCGCAGATACATTTGATCGGACGAGCTGAAAGACTCCGAAGTTTGATTCCCGAATTCGTTTGTCGGTCGAATCGAGGAGGGCGGACCAAGTGAAGAGCTTCTGCGTGATTGCACTTTCATATCGAAGGATGCCAATTAAACTCGGATCGACGATTCCCACTAACTGCTGCGCGGTGCTCGGTTGATTTCAACAATGCTCGGAGCCAGTCAATGAGCTCACAATGCACTGCCGATGCATTGACGGATGAGACCGGTGTCACTCAGTATTTGATTGTGGTGAGAAATTTGAGAGATTCATGATGGAGTGACTTCTTGTATGCTCTTGTTTGAGACTCTCCTCGGGTAGACTTTCCGTGAAGCTACGCCAAACGGCAAGAATGCCATCTCGGCCAGATCTTCAGACATCCGAAGTATCTGACGCATGATGAATGACATGTGCTCAAGGCATCCGAGACATGGAAACCATCGGACAAGTGCTTGATAGGAATGCATTCTGTCCGAAACGCTCTCGCCCCACTTCCCTGTGACTTGGATAGGCTGTGAAGTTCCCGATTTCACATTGACGAACTTTCATTGCTGCGCTCCGATCCGATCCGAGGCTCAAACCCAGTCGTGTGAGCTCGTGGAGAACTTCCGCGGGCAGTATTGAAAATTAAGTCTCGGAGGCACAACAGGAATCGTTGTGACCCCGCTGCTCGAGTGAGGAGCCTCCATCCTTGGAGAGATCTCCACGCGGTCGCACGACGCGACGAATCGCGCCGAGATCTCTACGAGAGTTGCCGGGAAGGTCTGCGCGAGCTCCCGTCAGGGGCTCTCTCGAGGTCTCCGTCAAAGGACTCCGATCCCGACGGTCACAAGTTATGCAGACCCTTTGACATTGGTCAACTTAAGTGAAACCATATCGATTCCAGCAACGGAGGAGCACCAAGGCATCGTATCTTGCGAAGGGGAGAGATACTGTCAAAGCGAAGTACGCCATCTGACGCCAAGCTTCCAAAATAGTTCTTGCAATCCGATATCAGTATCGAGGTAATTTCCTCTAGTTCCGATCCGATTTATGCGATTGTTTGCACCGCCACGCTCGGACTCGTTCATTTTTTTTTTCATTCCGTCAGTTCATTCCCCCTCATCCTTCGAATCAGCCTCAATGCGAAGGATCTCCGACGTCATCGATCGTAATCATCGTTCTAGCCAATCGAGACACTTCACTTGCGTTCGGATCAGGAGTCAGGGGACAGCCCTCCGCGGTCTGTCCGATGGGGATCGCGGGCACTCCCGGAACGTGGGAACTCGTCAGGATGCAATCGAGGATCCAGACGGAATCCGTATGCAATAGACGTTGTCCGAGTCTTCCCTCCCGTCCCCTCTGTCCCCGAGCTCCCGAAGGAGCACACCGGCGGGTTTCGAAATTCGGCGCCAATTCCCTCGCCGCGCGCCAAACTCATCTCTCTAGCGAAGAAGAAATCAACAAGCCGGAACTTGTGTCGGATTCCAGCCTTGACTTGATTTCACCCATATAAATCAAGGCAGATCAATGGCTGAGGTAGATTTGCCATTCAAGGTGGACTATGCCAAATCTGGCAGGGCGTCGTGCAGAAGCTGCAAATCCCCAATCTCAAAAGATGATCTGCGCCTTGCCTCAGTGGTCCAGGTTTGTGTATTTCATAACACAGCTATCCGATGACTTAGGCGAAGCTTCCCCGTTTTCCCGGGACAGCTCTATCTCATTCTTCTTGATCGTCCCATCTTTTGAACGAGATCGATGAATCCCGGATTCCTCCGATGTGTATCTTGAACCCGTCTGATCCCCTAGACGACACCCTATCCGTAGCAGGAGTGTTGGCATTTCATTGGATTCCTCATGGAATTCTCTTGTGGCTTCTGGATGAGTTTCTCGGTGTCTGAAAGGCTATGGGAGCTCTAATAGGTCGAGTTCCCGCTTACAGTCATCGTCGTTCGATGGAAAAATGACGAAATGGTTTCATTTTGCCTGTTTCTTCTTGAAAAACAAGCCGAGGTCCACAGGTGATATCGATGGCTTCTCCAACATCAAGTAGGTCTAGACGTCATGTCGAGAAGCTCATTGCAAGGAGGTGCTCCATGAATCATTCCCGGGAGGAATATACTTGACGGAACTCGAAACTCACGAATTTCCCCGCAGATATGATGATCAAAAACGTATCGAGAAGAAAGTCGGCTCAGGCGGTGGCACAGCTGACCTCGTCGGCAGAAAATCTGTCTCCGCCAAAGAGAAGAAAAATGCTACCCTTGAATATTCGGTGGAGTACGCTAAAACCAGCAGATCAACTTGTCGTGGCTGCGACATGCTCATCGCCAAGGGTTGGTTTCGTCAAGCCTCCCCGTGTTGGCGAAGAAATATGGGGATAGGGAGGGAAGAGCTCGTTTTGCGAGGACAGTGAACCATGATTGGACCGTTCCAGATCAAGTGAGGATATCCAAGATGGTGTATGATTCAGAAAGAGCTTTGGCCTACGGTCCCTACCCTGGATGGTATCACGTGGAGTGTTTCATCGCCAATCGAGAACAGCTGCAGTGGTTCCTCCCCGCTCAAGACCTGCCTGGTTACAAGTCCCTCGGAATAGAGGAGCAGAAAATGTTGAAAGAAAAAATTCCCAAACTCGCACCCGTGTGAGCACTACTCCGATAGCGAATCAAATTAGCTTAAGCCATATCGAATGGCAAAGTCTCGAGACCAATACCATTCGAGTTTGCGCCTTCGTCATGAATAATATTCTTATCCCGGCAGGAAGAGATCGGCTGAGGAAGAAAACTCCGAGCCTGCGGCGAAGAAGAAGAAAACCGAGGATGACTCCGCCCTGAAAAAGCAGAGCGACCGACTATTCCAAATGCAGAAGAAGCTCGAAACCGAAATGACCAAGCGGCAGCTCATTGAAATCTTCGAGTACAATCATCTTCACGTGCCATCTGGAATCAGCCGATTGGTCGAATGGTGAGTCCGACATATGTATATTCGTATTCCGATCGACTTCGCGCGATCTATCGAGCGGAGGAGCTGAGCCGAACTCTACGCAGGCTGGCAGATGCGATCATCTTCGGCGTGTGCGATCCCTGTCCCGAATGCAAAGAAAAAGCTCTCCGATTCAAGAACAACGTTTATAAGTGTTACGGGGACTTTTCGGAATTCACTTCATGTGAATACACCACGACAGATCCTAAAAGATCCAAACTCAAGGTCCCTAAAGAGTTCCTGCAGGCTTTTCCGTTCCTCAAGGGGAGCGTAGGGAAGAGGTGAGTTGGCCGTGATCTCCAGATTGAGGAGTAGTAACCCTCCGTCGCCGATGGCTCCGACTTCAAGCCGGCACGGATTCCGTTCTCGCAGATTCTCTAGCGTCTCTTTGGAAATCCCCCTCAGAATTATTCCCGTGAATGCCGCCAAACCCACGGTCACTCCGAAGTCGGAACCGAGGCAGTCACTGACGCAAAAATCTCTCGCCGGTTGTGAGATCGTAATTGAAGCTACGGAGCAAGATTATGAGGTTGTGCGGGCGAAAGTTCTGAGCTTCGGAGGCAAAGTCGTGAAGCAGGTGACAGACAACACCTTCTGCGTGATTTCGAAGCAAGGTGAGAGTAAATCTCTCGGTCCCATGTCGTATATGCTCTCGGAGTATCGAAGTCGCTATCGATCTGTTGGAGGAGGCGCTCCGAGAAAAATAATTTCGTCCTCCAGAGAATGTTGACCGACTGTCAACGAAAGTGAAACGTGCGCAGAAACTCGACGTCTTCGTCGTATCTGAAGATTTCTTGGAGAAGTGCCGGAATGGTTCCGTCGATCTCAGACCGCACAAACTGGCTGATTGGGGTGACGAGGCAAGTTTCGTGATGGCACGGGGAAGATGGCTAGGAATGAGCTCATCTAGAGAGAGCAGGAGAGGGCATAGTTTAGCATGTATGTCATCCCTGAATTTCATCTCGTGGTTTCAGGCTCGACTCGCGAAGCTCTTGGCAGAAGCTCAGAAAGCAGCATCAGAGCTGACATCGAAATCGGGGAAATCGATGTTCTCGAAGAGCGGCGAGTCCACGATGAAAGTCAAGATGAATGGCTTAGCAGCGGTCGATCCAGATTCCGGCCTGGATGGCATCGCCAAGTAAGAACCCATATAGTACCCGATAGTATTCCTCCTCGATGGCGAGGTTCTGGATCCCGAAGTGCGTTCTTTCGATTCGAGTCGACGCAACGGAAATCAAACCTCATTCACATTTTAGGGTTTATCAGCGAAACAAGGACGTGTACAGTTGCGTTCTCGGTCTCGCAGACGTCTCAAGAGGAACGAACTCCTATTATAAAATCCAGCTGCTGGAGTCCAGAGGGACCTACTTCGTTTTCCGAGCATGGGGTCGAATTGGGACAACTATCGGTTAGTTGATTGGACAGAGGCCCGAAAAGAACTCCTATTCCAGCAAATTTCCGCAGACAAGGAGTGCTCCAACATATCAATTCCGCAGGTGGTAATAAACTCCAGGAGCACGGTACGCTACAAGATGCGCTCCTGGACTTCAAAGCTGTCTTCTTGGACAAAACTGGGAATGATTGGGAGTCGAGGAAGAGCTTTGTCAAGAAAGCGAAGTATTTCGACATCATTGAAATGGATTTCATGCAAGACCAAAGTGCAGCGGATACGAAACAGGTTCGTGTGTTGGGTCCATCTACGCGTATCCACCAAAACTGAAACTCAATCCGCAGATTCATGACTCTCTGCCTCCGCTTCAGATTTTGGCGACGAGCTCCGACTCAAAACTGCCGCTCCCAGTACAAGAGCTGATTTGTATTTTATTCGACGTAAATGTCATGAATCAGCAAATGAGGGAATTCGAGATAGATCTCCAGAAGATGCCCCTCGGGAAAATCTCGAAGGATCAAATAAGCAAAGCGTTCAAAGTTCTTACGGAATTACAAGCCTTGATCGACACCAAAGCGTCCCGGGTCCGATTCCTCGACGCCTCCAACAGGTTTTTCACCATAATTCCGCATGACTTCGGCATGAATGCCCCACCGCTTCTCGATGACCTCAAGACGATCAAGGTGAGTCTGGCTTCTTGTTCCGAGACTCCTGATGGGTGCGTTGGTGCACTCAAGCTCAAGTCACTCTTCCCAGAGATCTCGTCAATTCTCACGACTCTGATGATGAATTGCAGGAGAAAGTCGATATGCTAGATTCATTGGGCGAGATGGAGCTCACAATGAAGATGCTCAAACAAGAAAAGAACTCAACCGCGCTGCCCGTGGACCATCATTACGCGCAGCTGAAGGCCGATATCCAAGTTCTACCAAGAGATGGAGCCGCTTTCGGCATACTACAGAAATACGTCACCACCACGCATGCCGACACTCACGCTGCGTACGATCTCGAAATCCTCGACGTGTTCACCGTGGCGAGAGAGGGAGAAGCTCAGAGGTAATATCGAACTCTCGAACAATGGTCATCGAGGGAGCTCACTCGCCAGGACCCAGACAAGCGATTTCGAGCGTGTAGTATGATCAGCTTGGGAAAAATATATAAGATGTATTTTTCTCCCTAGATATAAACCATTCAAACGTCTTCATAACCGGAAGCTTCTATGGCACGGTTCCCGTCTGTCGAACTTCGCTGGAATTATATCTCAGGGCCTCCGCATTGCTCCTCCTGAAGCCCCAGTCACCGGATACATGTTTGGAAAAGGTGACTTCATCAGATCCCTTCGGGAGGATACCGTGTTTCTCGATCCGGTTCTACGGAATGAGGGGAAAGATGCTATGAGAGCCTAATTCACCATGATTCGTATCCGCAGGAATCTACTTCGCCGACATGGTTTCGAAGTCGGCAAACTACTGCTGCACAACAGCCGCGAATCCGGTCGGTTTGCTGCTGCTCTGCGAAGTAGCCTTGGGGGACATGCATGAATTAACAAAAGCCAATCACATCACGAAGCTTCCCGACAAAAAGCATTCCGTGAAGGGTACGTAGCCGCGAGACGGCATCAGTGTCGGCTCCTGCGAGAAGACGAGACTTCCGCCTCCTCAGTCACCACAGCTACGATGTCCTTCTTCCAGGTATCGGAAAAACACAGCCGAAAAACGAGGAGAAACTGGAAGGCTCTATTGTCCCAATGGGACCAGCAGAAAAATGTGATGTCGATACGACTCTCTTATACAACGAGTACATCGTCTACGATGTCGCTCAAGTTCACGTCAAATATCTCATGAAGGTCAATTTCAAATTCAAGTATTGAGTGCTGTCGTAGATGCTGGCGACACGTTCGGAAACTTGAGCTACGCATCGGATTCATCGTCTCTCGCGGAAGCGGTCGTCGACACGCGGTTCCCTAGTTTTACAACCTCGTCATTGAAATCGTGTCGATCACCGTGCGCGTACCCGCATATCCGATTCCACCCGTTCCTAGTGTCGAAAACCTGTTTTTAACTGGAGTTTGTGAGCACACACATTAAATAAAGTTCAAGTCGAGCGCCAAACCTGAGACTTGTCTCGACAGTATGGGGGAAGAGGATTGGAATCTTTCATTGTGGGTCTCATAAGTCTCCCGGAGGAGCGACAAATCGTCGCTCCTTCTCAATGGACCTCTCGGTTTCCGTGGCGCTAACCAGAGAGCCTCCCACTCGGCGATTCCCCGATTTGAGCTCCAGGAAGTACCGTGGAGCCAACTCTCTTTTCTTCCTGAGCAAGGACGAATTCTCCAATCTTCATTGGGCTGATGCAGATCACGGAGGGATGATCAAACAAGCAGGAGAAAGCTCGACAGAACATTCCGGGTATATTCCGAGGCGCACCTAAGCGAAACACGAATGGGAGCCCTGCTATCGAATGTCTTTTCTGTTTGCGAAAATGAAGTCAAGGATAGACGTGATTCTGAGCGTTCCCCGCTGAGTCCCACTGGGTGCCGTTTGTCGAGCGAACAAAATCAACCCTAGGTTGGGTAGACCTCATTCTCGAGCTAGTCAGGCATCGTGTTCACATCAGGCCCCCGTCCCGATGATTCAGAGGTGAATAACTCGAAGCGGAGGACTCGGATCCAGAGAACAGAGATGCTCTGAGGACCCAACAGGTCAGTACGGAGCTAGTTTATTGGGAGATCCTTGTCAGGGGCCTTACGCTCCTCATTCATTCCATGTTTTCGATTCCCGCTCATGTCCCAGCTGTCGAGGTCCGACGATACTCCCAACTGTCGAAGTTCGACGAAGGCATAAGGCGGACGCGTCCAGTTCCAGGTTGGAAGACGGGAGAGTGAGAATCCAATGATCACCGGAAGCCGAAAAGCCTTGCCGAACGCTCCTGTCCTAGAGTTGCACCAAATCATTGCTCGTCCTCTCTGCAACTCCAACTTCTCGTGGATATGCTCTCATTGAAAATCCTGTGCGTTATGTTCATAATATTGCCTCCGACGGTCCGTGCTCTAGCAAGCCTCGCGGCTGGCGCCGTTGCTCCTTTTGTGATCGGGGGCAAACTGCTCCTGATACCGAAAGCGATCGCTGTCCATGCCGGTTTCGGGTTAAGCGGAGTGAACATCGCAGCCGCAGCCCTCCTGAAAAATGCGATCGTCATCCCAGCCGCTATCGCGGGGATCAAGGCGGGCTACGGAGCCTCTTCGTATCTGAACTCTCATCGGATTCCGGGAAGAGGGGGAGGGGGCAGAGCACTCGTAAGGCAGGGTGGTCCCAGAACCGTTCCACCTTACCCTTTACAGCCTACAGCACCTCCCAATCATCAGATGCCCTCCCCGGCCCGAACACGACCGACAGGGAAATCAGCCCTCCAATTTTCTAGATTACTGCTACCCAGGGATGACGCGCAGAAGGCACAGAAGGGGATGAGGACGGATGTACCGCCTCATCTCGTGCTAATTCCAAATGCTGAGCAGCCAGCATCGAAGCTGAAACTTACCCCGAACAACTGATCTCTCGATGCGCCCTCCATCCCCTGGCGAGGAGTTCGAGGCATCCCCGAGTGTTGGTTGGTTGGGCATGAACCGCACCCAATTTTTGGAAATAAATCCGCCGTACGACAGAATCATTGCATATCGATCCTTGACTGCCCCAAAATTAGAAGACTGATGAACTCGGCCGTGGTTGTCTGTAGTGTATAGCTCAAGAAAACACTGGGACCTTAGAAACCCAGCTGTGGCTCAGCCTCAGTCTCGAGAGAGCGGAGATTCGCCTGACAACGCAGATGACGGGATAGAGAACCGCAACGACATATTGCAGGACGTTCGCCCCGGAGCATCTCTCGTTCGAGGATGGTCGAAAGGCGAGAGTCGTGCGTTGGTTAACACGCAATGGAGGATAGAGACTCGATAGGTCCCCCATTCGCTTTGACTCCATTCGCTCGTCGGAGTCAGATCAGGCTTGGAGGTAGAACCAGCCAGGAATCAGGCGAGGAACTCCTCGCTCGATACATCGATTCCGGATGTATCAATCGAGAGAGTGCCGCAATCGCGGAGGAGAACGGAAAGCTTTTTCATTGTCTCAAGATAGATACGGGGACTCGCGCTAAGGGAAAAACCTTATACCTCGACGGAATAGAACAGAGGAATAAGGCTAAAGAGTTGAGGCTTCATCGCTATCAAGCGTTGAAATCGTCCTTGAGCTCTATGAAGAAAAATCTTGTCTTCCACTGGAACGCTCCTTTTATTCGTAACGATAACCGAGCGGAATCTGTTTATTTCTTATCCCCGGCGGTCTGGGCCTTCTTTTCATCTCCTCCGGCCAGTTCTTGCTTCTTCTGAAGGATTCGCTGCTCTCGTCGGATGCGAGCCTCCTTGACCTTCAGACGTCTGGCTTCGGCCTGGTCGTTGAGCATCTTCGTGCGAGCCTTCTCGGCCTTCTTACGATGAATGTGCTCCATAAGGTTGCGCTTGTTCTTGAAGACGGCACCCTTCGATTTCAAGTACAGCTCACGATACAAGTGCTTATCGATCTTGTTGGCCTCTCGGTACTTCCTCAGAAGACGTCGGAGGACACGCTGTCGCCTGATCCACAGGAGTTTCGTGGGCATACGGGCGTTCGCGGTACCCTTCCTCTTACCGATACCGCAATGACGACCCTTTCTGCGAGCTTCGGCGTTCCTCCTGCATCTGAAACGCGAGTGGATCTTGACGGGTTTGCGGATGATCAAACCGTCTTTGATCAGCTTTCGGATGTTCTCGCGAGAGTTGGCATTTGCGATCTCCTGAACTTCATTGGGGTCCAACCAGGCCTTGTTGCGACCGCATTTCAGCACCGCGGCTGCGAGTCGCTTTTGCAAACGGAGCGTACTGAAAGCGTAAAAAGTTGTTAGTCTTCCTCCATTTATCTAGAGACTGAGGTTTGACAAATGACGGAGACTCCTCGGACTATCACACGAGCCATCGGTAGCCCTGCTGTACACCAGATTGGATGGATAATCCGATGGAAAACACTTCATGGGAAAGACCGGCCCAGCTCTCTTGACATTTTGAGAGCTTATTCTCTATTTGGGAATCTGGTAGTCACCGAGAAACCTAGGAAATCCCGCCGGCAAAAATGTTCCGAGTGGGAACCGGGTATCGGACGAAACCTCCAAAACGCTTCGGGACTAATAAGGCGCCTCGAGCCGTACTTTCGACGGAGTAGCCACGTGGTGAAAACAACACTTCCGAAAACTCGGTTATCCCACTCGAGGAGGACACATCACATGTTTGCGGCCGAGCAATCGACCTGGAATCGTCGTACGAACTCGGAACCGATGCATCACGACATTCCGGGAGCTTCCCGAGCGTCATTGAGGTCCGGCCAGACCTGTCCCAACAACACACCGCTTGGGCAACCCCCTTCGACGTCTCGATACGACTCATCCTCGTCTGATCCGTCATGAACGACGCTGCGGAGCTCAAGCTCGGCACGACCGACTGCCCCGTGCTTGGGAATACCGCTTAATTCCATTCAGAATTGGAAATTTTCACTTTTTCTCTTTACCTCATGTTGGTAGCCTCAACACGGCACACGAAAAGAAAATTGATGGTGATTTCTGTCTCCGAGTCGACCTGCGTATCGCATCACCGGGTGGTCCTTAAGCGAAAGTTGTCAAGTTCGGCGCGTGCCTCCGCCTCGATGGACATTCGATACTCGCGATCCGATCGTGAGTCGAATCTATCAGCGAAGCCCTCACCGAGCATTTTCAAGATTTCGAGTCGGTGGCAGCTTCGAGATCGCCGAGGAAATCTTGAGTTTCATGAGCGTTCCTCGGAAGCGACCGCCGCGCCCCCTACTGGACGACTGAACGTTTGATTGAGTGGATGACATGATCCAGCCCGCGCGCGACTTGCTCAGGGGAAGACAAGAGTATATTTCGGAATTCCCGTCCCCGTCTGATGCGATAAGGGTGACCCTGATCAAGTGGCCTCAGCTCTCTCGTTCTCGACGAGTTGCGCCCTCTTCGCCGCAGGGATCACATGAGAACGAGTCTCACGGCTTCTGAATGGAACGGCTGATTTCTCTGCGACTGCGACGGGTGGAGCTGAATGAACGCAAAATTACTGCATACATAATTCTGAGACGGAAGGGGGGCGCAACCATGTGCTCCGTTTGCTTTTGACTGTCTGCACTCTGCCTGCCGGAGGAGATCTACGGATGTCCGTACTTCGGGGAGGAGCTCGCGCTGCAATTATTTTCAGAGATCTGCCGTGCTTGAATCATGGCTCGCGCGATGCGCCAGACTGGACTCGGGTGGAATTCCCCATCGAAAGTAGTCGAGCTCGTGAGCACTCATCGGGGCGTTGGATGCCAAATGTTTCGGACACTCTTGCTTCCGCTCGCTCAACTTGCGGCTCGCGAACATTCGGGGCTTCAGCAGTCGCGCCTCTAGTCGCTTTCGTCGAATCGATCTTTGCCAGTTTTTCCCGACCGTCGATTCATTTTCTCGATCTTGCATTTCGATCGAAATCCATTATCGAATTCCTTTTTGATCGGGATAGGCTCCAGTTGCAGAGATGGGCAGCGGGAAAAGCCAAAGAAAGAACCCGACCGCTGCTTTCCCACGTTCTGCGCCGAAATTCGCCGCGACCGAGGTATGAGTCGAGGAGCGTCATGAATGATGTACACGGCAGCGAGAATCACTGCCTTGCTGATTTCCCGATAACGGCAGGTGCCGGGAGAAACTCACAAAAAGCGATGGAACGGTCGTCAAGTCGGCAGCGTGTCGAGCAGCCTCTGCACGAGACGTGCACTTCGCTACTTACAATTAGAATGTCGCCAAGCAAGAGAAAGGTCCCCTTTCGGTAGGGTCTGAGCTGACGTCCCCTCTCTCGGTTGAGGCTCGATCCCGTCTGACGGTGAGATGTCGCAGGAGCCCGTCACGATTCCACCTGAGGAATTCGCTCAATGGCATCTGCATAAGGTAAAAAAGTGTAACTGTCCCCAGGTTATGAAAAGCTCCGAATTCAGCCTCATTTTCGACTTATATCCTCACGAGAGCTTCACGCTCCGCCGGTTTCATCTCGACGTCTTTTCTCGGAGTCGGAGAATGCTTCCTTTTGTGGGCGATGCCATATGAAGGCAGTTCGTTGTCAGGCTGCATTTCACTCGCGTCTCCTTCCCGTCATACACGGTGTTGGTTGGTTCAGATGGCAACGATCGAATGGATCAGCAAATAGAGGGAGACTGATTTGACTTCATCGATCGAATCATTCGGGAGATAGGTCGGGTGAGCTTTCCGGGGCGCTTTAGTTTCGAAAGCCCGGCTCGTTAGAGATGAACTTTTAACGAATCGGACCCCATCTTCTCGATCGCCTGTGTGAGTTGCGTCTGCGGCCAGATTTGCCAGGAGTTGGACGAACGCCCGAATCTCGGGTCGGCTATGCCGCGATTCCAGTCTCCCTGAATCATAGGAAATCCCGGACCCGGTCGGCTCGAGACGCGGTGCGGCGGCGCAGCGGGGAGACGTGTAATTTTTGAAACTTGGCGCGCTGAAGCTTCCTGTCGTCTGTAGGCTTTCAGTTTCGCTTCCGCTTGTGAGTTGGGAGAGAATTTCTCGATGAGAATTGTCGTGCACAGTTTCTTGAGAACGTCGAGCTGCTCTGTTGAGGCTGTGGCCAAGTTCTAGCGAAAATGGAGTATCTCCGGTGACCATTTCACTGGCTTGACGGCCGAACATCGCCCGATTTGATTCATCCTCAGGTACGATGTTTGTTTTTTCCACAGAATTCTCGATGCAGGTGAGCCAGAGAGAGTTTATTCGAACACATCTATCCGAGAAGACGTGCTCTGGAAGCTCCGTTCGTTTGACAGAGCCGACCGACTGGAGCAACGCTCGGGCTCGAGCACGCTTTCAGCGAGGCTCCGCTGAAGAATCCCCCCGGTTTCCCTTGTTCGGAACGAGCGAACGCTGGTACCATCTTTGGCAACTTGTTTCTCTTATTTATTTCTCGGCTCGAGAATACATTTGATCTCGCAACATCTGCGATGGTCGGCTCTTAGTTCCCCGATCGGAAATATGCGAGGTTATCTGCGTATGTGGAACATAGGGAGAATTCCCCGTTTCGGAAGCGATTGCCTAAGAGGAAGGTTGCAACGTTGAAGTCGTGATCTTTGGATTGAAGGCTCGAGGGGCCCCAAGTCCTCGAGGTTCATCTTGGACATCTGCCAGATCGTACCCGAACCTGAAAGCGCCGAATCTACTACGATCTACCTTTCATTCTGTATTAGGGCTCGTCGGACAAATCTGATGACGATATTTCTGGGAGTCGGACGACTTCCGCCCATTGCCATTTGACGTGGCGTTTTTTTCTTCCACTCAATTATCTCAAGCGAATTTTCGAGACGAGGACTCGATTCTTCGGAATCGAATCCTCGTTTTTTCCAATGTGACACCTGTGTATCGTTTCCATCGACTTTTCTGTGAGCTTTCGAGCTTGTTGTTTCCTTGGTGCGGCTGACGGAGTGACAGTCGGTGTGTTGTCGTGTGTCCGCAGTGATCGTGTCGGATGCATCGTTTTCCGACTCAAAACAGAGGCTCTGGTTCTCGTTGTGAGCCGAAAGCACCATCAGCGATACAAGCAGCCGTATGAAGCTCGTTTTGCGATCTGAGTCGCCGCCTTTCCCGGCATCGCTGTCTGCGCTGGGAACCTGCCCAAGACAGAATGGATTGAGGTCCTCGATATATTCCTAGCGGGCTGGTGTCAGAGGCTCTTACGCGGCCCCGAAGAAAACTCGAGGGAAACCGCCCTCAGGAAGAGTCCTGATGTGAAGGAATCACGTGCAGGGAGTGCACTGGCTGAACTCTGATCAAAGGACGCTGGACCTGCTTTTCGAGTCTCGCAGAAAGATCGCTCATCATCCTCGTGTTTACGATGAGGGACACCTTGCGCCACAATCATCGAGAGCCGTCCGGGACTTCAACCGCGGGAGTTTCCAGCTCCTCGGGAGGCCTTTTCGCGGATGATGAGGGATGCATAATTTGAACGCAGAGCTCCGATCATACGTTTTTTTTCGCGGTACGTGTTGGGTCGTTGTGTCCTTGCGGGATACCTGGCCGTGAAAAACTCTTTCTCCGTCATGAACGCACACCGGCAGCCAGCTCGTGAGTGAAACGGTCTTTCGCTGCGAATGTGATCGACGCTCTGATCTTGGTTTTCTCCGCTCAATTAACCCCTTGATTAATTTTGAAAATATACAGGGAGACTGTGAGACGTGAACGCGATGATTGGGCTTGATTGCCACTTTAGTTTCTGCTCTGACGGATGATTGGACTTGTCGGAGACGGGCAATCGCCTTCGGATCGGGCTCCGAAAAGCAACTTCCGATGGAGGAGAAAATCCATTCGACGCGAAAAGATCGTATCGGCGAAAGCTGCACGGAATCGATGTCGATAGTTAGTCGAGAGCGGGATGATGATGACATCTTCCGCTGGAGATTGCCGTCCTGCGTCTGATATTTCCTGATTCCCGAGAGGAAACCCTGAACGGATTCAAGTCGCGAGCGTCATCGGAACCGGTGACGACAAGAGACGTCGCCAAAAGAGAGACCTGGTTTCGACTCCCGACGTCCGAGCAATCCGGAGCGATGATCTCTTTTCACCTATCCGAAGTTCCTCGATTCGTGACCCTGAATGCATCCTCTCCATGTGCGGAGTTGGGCTTCCCCGTAAGGAACTTGACTTCTCGTCTAATATGATTTGAACAGTCTACACCTGTGCGATCCTCTCCCAATGAGCTGGGGATCGAAGCGCTCACGGAGCGCTTGCTCATTCGTCCTCGAGAGTCTCTGCGAAGGGATCCCGCTCATTCGCGGGGGCTTGACACGAATTTCGGGGATTTGTTTTATTTATCTATGTTATCCATGACAGCGGCCTAGTGGGTTGGTTGGTGGTTGTCACCATGGAGTTCGAAAACGGCCTGGCGGAAGGCTCGCCGTCCGTTCGTAGCACCGACGGCTCGCCCGTAACGGGAGAGGCGCCATTCCAAGCACGGTGGCCTGTTCGGAGGATCAGGGAGGGCTCTTCCACGTGTTCCTCCAGGATTTCTCCCTCTGATCTCGATTGAACTTCGAAAATGATAAGCTTCTGTACCTCTTACCGCGGATCCCGACCCCTCAACGTCAGCCTATACCCAAGTTGGAGAGAGTTCTGAATCCTGAACACGATGCGAGGAGGCTCGTGGCTCGCGGCTCAGAAGCGAAAAGTGTGTGCTCTCGTTTATAGAGAGTCCGAGCCGTAGCTTTCGCGCCTTCCGGCCCTTGCAAGGCTCATGGGGGAAGTTTCCGTTCTCGGAGTGATCTGAGAGTCAACCACCGATCGGACAACTGGCGATTCGTTCGCCGCTCGAGATCTCTCATAACAGCGGCTGATGTCACTCGATGACTCGGTCGCCTCATGTCGCACATCGAGATTCGAGAAAAAAAGTTCCACTGACATTGCTGACTGAGTTAGTCGGAGCTCTTGAAGGGTATGATATTCATGAATTGAGGCGTGGATAGAGCGATGGATAAGCGAGCTGCGCTGGGCAATCATATACGGATGAGCCCTTGATACATGAATTGATCACACAGATCGAAGATGCCATCTTCATCAGAAATTCCCTCGATTCCCATTCTTCCTGGTTGCGGGCTCCTTCGGCGCGGAGCCGAGCGGTGTTTGGACCCAGATGCCCGGAGGTTTGAGGGCTGCTTGCGGCTGCAGCCAGGAAATGACTCTGAAGACTCTGTTGCAGTGTATTGGTCGGGAAGCACCAGTCTGAGCCTCGGGATTTTGGTCCCGGATGTCGAGAATGCCCTAGAACTTCTCTCCAAGGAAAGCACTCGAGATTCCCACTGATTTACTCTCTCTTTCCAGGTAGAACACGGATTGTCTCGCTGTTGCTGCTACTGCCCTTGTCAAACTGATCCGCGGGCTGAACGATCACGCGAGTCTGAACTCGCAGCCAAACTCTTTCGTCTGTAGGATTGAGGGATTCCGGTAGCTAGAAGAGTTTAGATGGATATAAACTCTGCTCAGGCTGAAGAATTGGCTTCTCTGGCCACTGTTGGGCCAATACTAGCGGTCGCCATAGTTAAAGCCCGAGAGGAATCTCGGGGATTACTGTTCAGAAGGTATGTGCGCGATATCTATGCGTGAAGAACACATTTTATGATTCATACTCCTATTTGGGATGTCGGAGCATCGGGTACAATTTGCAACTTCGTCTCCAGGTTGGAGGACTTGATCAGAGTGCATGGTATCACAGAGGACTTCGTAGAAGTCAACCGGGCTCATTTGGTCTGCAGACCTTCCCCGACGCCTGCCGATGCCGATGGCGCGTTGGAGACACATCTTCGCAACTCCAAGTAAGTTCGAGTCGGTGTACTTCGGCCTACCTCCCTTGTCTTCGATTCCCAGAAAACTTAAGGAGATCTCGAAGGGAATCGCGAAAATCCAGATTCTCTGTGCAATCGATCCGATCTCAATCTTTACACTGGACTACAACGACGAAGGTCTTCAACTCGTATACCCTTCGAGCTTGACTCGAGATAATAATTGCGTCGGGCATTAAGGCCGTGGAACACTCTTGAATTTTTGGAGAAGATGCTGCGACCAAGAAAGTGGAAAACTTCCTACTGGAGATTAACCTATCGAATAGAGAAGGTTAGTCAATAACTTATTCACCTTTCTCAAGTCTTGAACGAGATGAGGTCAACTCGCTTGCGTCCTCGGTCGACCGCCTACTATCGGATAAAGGCGGTCCGCCCGAAGAAGATTTGGACACACCGGCCCATGCCAGCGACGAGCACGGATTGTCACCTGTTCTAGACCAATCCATGCAGCAGGTGGGAATTACGATAATTACTGCGTACATGTCGATCGCCTCGCACCGTGGCTTATGACCAGACTGATCTCTGAGAACAATGATGGATTTGGATTGCAGGATGATGAAAGCTCGGGCAGCTCGTGTGATGCGCGGATGGGTTCGAACTCCGCAGGACCCCCACCCAAACGGAAATCGGATGTCCAAAACCAGCAACAGTGTTCTCCCGCTAGTAAAAAAATATGTCGAGGACCCGAACTTGAATCTTGGTTGCAACAATTTATATCGTGGTAAGTATCCTTGCATGAAGTAAGCCGGACTTTTCTCACGGTCGCCGATCAATCAAGGGGTCCGGTTGACCTGAGACCGACTCATTCGCGGAGTGCCATTCGGAGAAATCATAAACATTTCACAAGGATGGATCGGGGCGTTTGCTTGTCGATTCGTTCACGGGCACATTTGCAGAGGCATGTAATCGGGATCGGTCGATCGCTTTCGACATGAGTCGCCCTCGGCCTCTGGCAGAATGATTTCGAATATGCTTCGAATCGCTGCGAAACTTTCGTGGTCGTATTTCTGTAGATAGACGGGACAAGATTTATGGAAGGCGTTGAGATTGTTCTCGAGTCTTTCGGTGGAGTAGCAGGTGCCTTTCTCCTTGGATGTGCCAACCGCCGGTCCCGGCTCGTGTTTTGTCATGCCTCCGACATGATTGAGAGCTTGTAGCGACACAGTCGACAGACAATTTTTGAAATCGAAAGGAAACACGGCCTGCAACGAGTTCAGAGGTTTTTCTCGATCCGAAAATCTGTTCGTGAGCCCGTCAGCGGTGTTATCGTCAGTGGTCTGAAGAAGATGCGCTCGGGAAGCGTGATTACCTGTGAAGTCGCGTTCAGGCAACGAACTCGTTGATGGATCTGCTCCAGAGTGTTCGTCACTTTGTTGATGCTAGGTAATGCCTGCGGGAAGGATCGCGTTGGCAATATCCCGGAGAATTTTCGTCAGGGTAAATCCCCGGAGGAATTGATTTGATATGTTTGTGTTTCACCTTCGGATCGATCAGTTTCCTCGCGTTGGCAGTGCATGCTCTGAAAGCGTCCAGGGTATCGCACGACCAGTACTGGTCGCATGCGCTGAAAGCGTGGACGCAGGCGAACCATAAGGCGAGACCTCTGGAGCCGTATGTTGTCGCTGCCACGAACTGGCCTTTCGCTGGAATTAATCGGAAGCGATGAACCTTCCGCAGTCTCCAAGTTCGATGCGGAATATTATTTTTATCGAAGAAAGTCGACGATCCCCGTGCCTGTTTTGAAAAACATGGCTGTGAGGACTTCACGGAAACAGGGGGTGAGGGCTTGCAGAGAAGGAGACTGAAGGGAGTTCCCCGATCCTTGTCGCGCTCGGAACTCGCGGAAGATGGCCGGCCTTCCCGAAACCGTTTTCCGTCGACTGCGAACACTATCGGAGAAGGTCCGTGCAACTAGCAGCGATGTCTTGGGCCTCACCGTTTTTGTCTTCGCATTGCTTCGGTAACTGATTCCGAACGAGGAGGAACTTTCCCTTGCATTCCTCAGTGCGCAGATGATGCCATACGCAGTTCCACAAAGCGCGTTGTCTCGTGCAAGCCCTATCCTGAATAATAGGAGCGGATATCAGAGAACGTCATCGGAGATTCAATTCACGTTTTCGATTGACTTCCCGGATGCGTGGAGATCCGTCGAATCTGTAGAATCTCGTAGACCGGACTGAGATACACATTAGAGGATCCTTCAGGGGTACACTCATTGGCGAAGAAGGCGGAATGGTGCATTAATACCATCGCGAGCTCTCTATCGTGATCGCTCGACCGCGAAGACGATCGGCCGAATGAAGCCATCCTCATCATCGAGGGCTCCGACTCACCTGCACGAGGGAAGGCAATCGTCTCGCGCATTGCCAGAGCTTCGATGCGTCTTTGAGACATGTGTTCGGTGATGTGAAAGAATAAGAAGGATTGCATGTCTTCGACGCAAGCTTGCTCGAGTCATCCGCGAGAAAACACGAACACCAGAGTAGAATGGTCGTTGCTGAAACCAAGACCCTTTCGAAACTCATTTTCGCAACTTTCACGAAATGCCGGATACAGGAGCTCAGTGCATTTTATTGTTTGTGACGGTAACGTCTACAAGCCTCACGTGACGGTCTGGCGCAGCAGTTGGCCTATTAGGAGAGACCCGAGAAATCCCGATACCCGAGCGAGTGGTGAGGGTTTTTCCTATCGAGTCAAGATCTCCTCTTGAATCGAGTGCGCCGGAACATATCACTTGCTCTGATCGCCAATTATTACTATTATTATTGATAATCAGCTTCGGAGCGCAGCATAGCTCGTAAACTTCTGCCTTTCCCCCGGTTCGGACTGAGGCCAGGGACTCGCTGCATCCATCGTGTTCCCTCGAATGGTCAATGAGGTTGATTTTCGGAAGTTGAATCGGAATAGATGCTCATACGTTCTTCCTTTCCAATTAGGTCTCATGGCGAACGTTCAAACGCACTGGATTGTTTAATGTCTACTTGTGATGCTTCCCAAGTACGTCATGTGATGAGCGTCATCGAGCCTCGATTCCAGCGGGACTTCATTTCGTTACTTCCGAAAGAGTTGGCATTGTATGTGTTAGCGTTCTTGGAACCTAGAGACCTGTTGCGAGCTGCTCAGACTTGTCGGTATTGGAGAGTTCTCGCTGAAGACAATCTCCTATGGAGAATAAAGTGCCGAGAGCACGGAATCGAGACTCCTCCACAAATAGGCGGGGTAAGTACTCTCGTTCTAGCTCGGAGATTCTCCGTTTACCAGACGCCACGACGATGAACGATTCGAACGACCGCTCATTCAACGTAATCCTCCTGCCCACAGAGCTCACCGAGGTCGTGGAAACGAGCGTTCATGCGACAGTACGCAATCACGATGAATTGGAGATCCCGACCGTTACGGAAGTTGAAAGCACTCAAGGGACACGACGATCATGTCATCACATGTCTGCAATTTTCCGGGAACCGGATCGTGTCCGGGAGTGATGACTATACCCTGAAGGTTTGGAGCGCCGCGAGCGGTGAGTAGCCACCCCTTCGTCTCAATCGATATTCATCCTCATCATGGGATGAACTTGCCAAAGCCGAGACTCGGGTCCGAGACGAGTCGCGATCATGCGGGATGTTTCGTCGCAGGTAAATGTCTTCGAGTGCTTGTCGGCCATTCGGGTGGAGTATGGTCGTCTCAAATGTCTGGCGCTATAGTGATCTCAGGCTCAACGGATCGCACCCTAAAAGTTTGGAATGCGGACTCGGGCGAATGCATACATACATTATTTGGACACACATCCACCGTGCGTTGCATGCACCTTCATGGAAACAGGTAACGTGGAATAGTGCTCTACCGTCTCAGTTCCTACATGACGGCTCGTGAATGTAGCTCCCATATGAGTTGAGCTAGGTGTGATATAGATCCTAATCACGGTTTTCCCCCGTCTTCGATCCGCAGGGTGGTGTCAGGATCCAGAGACGCTACTTTACGATTGTGGGATATTTCGACCGGTGAATGCATGGGTGTTTTCATCGGACACGTTGCAGCAGTTCGTTGCGTTCAATACAACGGCAAATTGATTGTATCTGGCGCGTACGATTACATGGTTAAAGTGTGGCACCCCGAACGAGAAGAGTGTCTGCATACATTGCACGGCCATACGAACAGGGTCTACTCCCTCCAGTTCGATGGGGTAAGTGCTTTCCTGCGCAGAACTCGTCCGCCGGCAGATTGTTCAATTCCCCGACTCCAGAATGTCTCATTGAGGAACTTTTTCAATGAATTATCTTTACAGGTACACGTGGTCTCGGGCAGCTTAGACGCTTCGATTCGTGTCTGGGACGTAGAAACGGGTCAATGTAAACATGAGCTAGTCGGGCATCAAAGTCTCACGTCGGGCATGGAGCTGCGGGACAATATACTGGTATCTGGGAACGCCGACAGCACCGTCAAAGTTTGGGACATCATATCGGGAAAATGCCTTCAAACGTTAGCCGGAGCATCGAAACACCAGTCGGCCGTCACATGCTTACAGTTCAACTCGAAGTTTGTCATCACGTCTTCGGACGATGGAACGGTTAAACTATGGGATCTCAAGACAGGAGAATTTCTCCGGAATTTGGTCTCGTTACCGTCCGCAGCCAACGGAGGCGTGGTTTGGCGAATTCGCGCCGATCAAACTAAGCTGGTGGCCGCTGTCGGTTCTCGCAACGGAACCGAAGAAACTAAGTTGTTGGTGAGTAAAGCAATGGAAGATCGCTCCGAGCGTCCATCAACATTCACCGATCGTCAGTACCGCTGTACATTAACATTTACTCTGATCGATGTGCAGGTGTTGGATTTCGACGACACGGACGAGACGAAGAACTCTGTCTGCGCCTCCGGAGACGTGGATCGAACGCCACTGGGCGCCTATTGTTAGCTAGATTCGAGCTCCCGACGTTTTTGAACACTCCTTCGGTCAACTCTCTTACCCTCATACCCAACAACAAAAACCCGATACTGCGATAGACCTTTACAAATTTTTAGAATCCAAAATAATTCTCAATGGCAGCGAGAGTGAGAGCAGCATGAAACAACTGCACGCAGGCTCAGCGGATCCGGGAGCTGACTGACCCGAAATATAGTCGTTCCTCGGACGGAATTACATTTCCAAAAGTTCCAATGCGGAAAGCGACGCGATGAATCCACAAACGACGGAATATAATTGAATCATCAATCGATTCAATGACAATCCATCGTAACATACTCCTCCTGTAGGGTCGGCGGCGCTCGGAGGCCGATTGTGCGGATTTGTTGTTTTGGTAAATTTTTGTTCGATCGCTAAATAAGCGGGACCGAGGATGGCGTCGATAGAGAGGGAGCCTACCGAAAATCTCCCTTCATTTCTCGTCATTGGTTCACATCGATTCAATCACTCGCTTTTTCTCGTTTTCCAGCGTGCTTCCTTCCTCCGCGAGAGATGTCACAAAAAAAATAGGCTGGCGTCTTCCTAAACAGACAATATTGAACTACCAACCGACAATTTAGGTAAACTTCAATTTTAGGCAATTAATTCATTAATTCATCATACTTCTTATGATCGCCTGGAATGAGATCCTTACGGAGTTTTGACGAGGGGAGGAGCAGTTGAGCGAACGGGACATGAGAGAAAGGCCTTACTCGTCAAGCCTCACCAACTATGAAACGCTCACGTCGATGGGCGACTTCTGTTCTGAACCAACCTGAATCTCGCCCAACCACCTTGTAAATAATACCGTATAGCTGAGGGCGCGAGTGCTCCTCCGAGGAAGACTCGAAACGTGTTCTCCGATCCGACCGCTGAATATCTGAGCTCCTTGGTCATGAGAAAGAGCGGGTCTGTTCTTCGCACTTGAACTTCTGCGGATCTCGTCATGCAAACGTTACAGCCCGATTTGGTTCGGCTGAAGAGCACTGAAGTACTTACAGCTTTGTGGAATTGAGATGCCAATCCGAAGTCGACGCTCTTTCTCTCTGTCAGTTCCATTAAATTAATAATGATGATCTGATGATGATTTTGACTATGCCAGGGTGTGGCGAGGGATGCCTCGATGAAGGTCCTCTCTGTGATGGAGTTCGAGTTCTTTCGAACGTTCGACGATTTTGATCTCGATCGGGAAAGATGCTCATCTATGCGCAATGGCATCTTTTCCCGGGCGGAAAAATTGGGCGCGAGAAATTGGAGTCGCTGCTTCCCAATGCAACCCAGAAAAGCGGGCATCGTCTCGCAGTACCTGCGGTTCGGGAATCCGCTCCATCAATCCACCCTCCGCACAATCGATTCGCCGCATTCACAATCGATCTCCCTTTGTCGCGAGAGGACGGAGTCCAGTCGAATGACAGTCGTGACATCCGGATGAATCATCATCAATTGCATCGCAGAATCAATGAATCAATCAATCAATTAATGAAGCGCCCGACGATGATGACGACGACGACCGTTATATCATTTGTATCATTCGTAGGTACGCGACTATATTAATTTATTATTGTGTACTACCATTAACAACTACAACAATGAATGTTGGTCTTGTTTCTGGGGTGAACTAGACCGTTGGTGACTCCATCACTGACGTCAACGATAAGGAAATCAGCAATAGCAGTGAAATCTCTCGAGATCTGCTCAGATGCAGACAAAACCTGTCGAATTTGTGAGCGGAAGAAGAAGTATAGTGGATTCTTCTCTGAAAAATTTACACGAATAAAAGTTTTGATAAACCTCACGGAAGAATCTTTGAGCTCGCTGTATAAGATCATCTTTACCATATTCCGCCTGAAAGGAAGACCTCGAGGGCTCACATGTGTCACAACAGGGCTTATATAACCTGAGCGATGATACAAATCATAAGCCTACATAGAGACGTTCCCGCAGCTTTTCGCAGGATAATCTCCGCTTGTAGCGAGTTTTCGATTTCACGAATTATCGGGGCTGCGAGGTTCTCATTGACGAAAGTCCTCAAGAAAAACCTTGCTCATTCTCGGCCTGTGGGCGAGCAAGAGGCTGTCGGTATTGATGGAGGAAGAATGGCAGATCGAGGAGATCTGAGTCTGGGAGCAGCGTTAGCGTAATCGTTAGGAAACCGCCAATCTTTCATGGACCAGTTGGACACCTAGACCTTTCCTGGAATGGGCCAATCGGCCCAGCCCGCTTGACAAGACCATAGAAGACGGATTCACCCTCTTGAAACGTCGCTCGGAGCATGCGATCATTTCTTTATTATCGTCAACTCGTTTCAACGTGATAAATATGAGAAAAATAAATAACTCTTTATTCGGCAGCCAGGAGCCGCTTTCAATCCGCTGGATCCGAAATCCGACGTGGAGCCGTTTACTTCTTGAAAGCATCCATCCTGACTTCGAGCTTCCCGATGTTTTCCGCGATCGTTTTAACATCTTTCTCCAATCTTTCTTGCATCTTCTTGACGAGCTCTCCGTCATTGGCAAGCTGACTCCCCAGGACGATCTGCAAACAATATACCAATTTTTTAGAGAGCTTTTCCCCGAAATATTCTTCCGTTGTTGTTGGATGCCGTATAAAAAGATTGCAAGGACTCGAACGAGCGTTACGAACCTGTTGGCCCTCGAGAGTTGTCAGACACTTGGAGAACTGCAATGCGTGCTCATGCAGCTCTTGCAGGCTCGAGAGCGTCTGCAGTACGTTCGCTAGACCCGGAATCAGGTGATCAACCTTCCGGGCAACTTCGTACATTTGTGCAATCTGTGAAAGAGAGATCGAGGATGAAGGTCAATCTCCGAGCTCCATGAGATTTACGGTCGGCGCGTACACATCCATCCCAGCAGGGACCGGCAGCGGGGAAGTTTCAACTTCAACCAACCTTGTCGGATTTCTGTGCCTCGTCCAACGCCTGCTTTCGTTCGGATACAGCGACGAGTCGTTCGTGGAGCCCCGCAAGCTGGCTTTCGACTCTTTCTATATTCGCCGGATCGAGCAAGAAGAGCTTCGAGGAAAGGTCATCGCAAACATCTTGAAGACTCTTCCCGGCCGTCTGTGCGGAGAGCATGGATACCTTCTGCTTGTCTTCGCCTACTGTAGCTTCCAGCTGCCGCAATCGTTCTTCCAGAGCTGCGACCTAGAACATCCAATTCGAGCTTCGGAATCGGCCTCAGACGAAGTAGGGGAACTCGCAGTGAATTCCCAAACGAACTGTTGCCCGGGGAAGGGAGTATCTAGTGGAGGAGAATTCCGGTCTCCAATCCTCACACGGACCCACCTGCTGGCTCTGCTGCAGTTTACTGTATTCTGGTTTGTAGAAGAGTTCGTATGTCAAAGATCCTTTCGCGTCTTTGGGTGCTTTCTTCGATTCCTGCACAGGTTCGCTCCTGAGAGACGACAACTGCTCCAGCAAGCGTTTGGATATCTCCCCGTTTTTGTCGCCGCCGGGTCCTGCAAGTTGGGCGGGGAATGAGAGATAACGTTTCCTCGACATATCCAAAATGTGATCCGCTGGTTGCCCCTACAAAGATTCGATCAGCTGGGGCTACTATGCCATGTCGATGGGATGGAACCAACCTTCACCGACGACAGCTTCGAGATTCACTTCGGCTAACAATTTCTCGAGCATTTCCATGTCAGCCAGGAGAACCTCATGGTTGTCCGGCCGTTTCCCTTGTTCGATAGCTGTCACATCCTCCAGGAATTGCTTCACCTGTGGGCGAGAAGAGAAATCGATTAAATCAACCGGGAGGACATGATCAGATCTATGCCGGATCCGGCATCGAGGACTCGGTCAGTGATCGGGTGGTCCCCGGAGCAGAGATTATCGAGCATTCTCTTCATGCAGAAGATCAGATGAAGGCTAAAAGGCAACAGCGCAGCAATAACACACTCAAGACATGTCTGGGACACGGACCTCTGTTTTTATCCTATGGTACCGTTGCGGTAGACTCTCATTCTCCTTATCGTCACTGAGCTCCCATTCCCCATATGTAACGTTGTAGCCTTTCTTTCTACCGAATATCAGATGATCCGAGAAGTCCGTCTTCGAGCTGTCGATACGACAGTCTTTGAACTTGTTGTAGGCATATTTTGTCGATATATGCAGCACCTTGAAGGAAAAGATTTCATATGCATCCGTAATGAAAGCTCCGTACGCCAAAGAGTAATCACGAATCGATTCGAACACCTGCCGCTCACCTCGACTGCTTCACTGTCATCCCCGCCCTCGGAGGCTTGATCTACTTCAGGCAAATCATCAGTTTCGTATATGTCCGGCTGATCGATAGCGAAGCCAGGAAGTTCAGCATACTTCGGATTCGATGCCATGATGCAACAATGTGACGTTCTTCTGACGTTCCTTCCGCACGGTTCCAAAAATTACAGGCGTTCCTACTCGACTTCGGGAGCACCTAGTCGTCGTCGTCGAGCACCGCCAGCAGAAGGTTTCGCTTGTTTACATTATTCGTCCGCATGAAAACTCTAGAGAAAGGCTCTCCCAGACTTTCCCCGCATAGATTCAGGCGGAAATACGATCTATGAGGACCTTCCTTGAAGCCAAGAACCCCGAGATTGAGTGCGTGGATTTTCACTATCAGAATATTCTGTTGAGATCGCTCGAAACCGGTGAGCCCTGATAGATGAAAGGACCAAGGTTGGAAAGTACCGCGTGGCGGCTCTCCTCCGACTTTCTCGTGTGTGTACACATATCTGCCGGTTGAACTCTCATGAAGCGCGACAAATCGTTGTAGACATTGTAAATAGACTGCCGCGTGCTCGCAAATATGGAATGACAGTCAGAAGCTCTCTGAGTATCCTCTCGTAAGGGCTTCGATACGGTGAGTGTGTAGAGAACTTGCCCGCTTCAGGGAAGTATCGCATGATATAGTCTTGCGGATATCTCTGGATATCCGGAAAGGCGATCCTTATGAGTTTTCACACAATGTCGAGGTCGATGAACTTGAGGCTCGAATAGGGGCTCACTGTACGATACTATACTGTACCGTACCATACGAGTTTTCGGTCCTCGCTCCTCTCCGCCGACAACCGGGACCATGAACTTCCGCGGACATCTCACTGCAAACGTTCCATTCCAGACGCAAAGCGACCCCTAAGCATGAGCTCTTCAAACCAGCGCTACATTAAAGGCCGTGCGGCTGATGCTGTCAACACCCTCCAAGAGGCCTGTGCTATTTTTGAACGAACCATTAATTCTTCGGTCGATCAGAGTTTTTCTGAGCACGACGAAAATGATCTCAATCAATCCAAGCGTCGGAAATTCGAAGAAACTCCAGAGGATAGAATTCGCGCTCTCAAGGTACTCCCGAATCCACAGAAGAAGTCCCGAGGCAGAAAATACCGAGTTACTCACTTGTAAATCATGGTCAGCGTCTTCGTCTGACCCTTCACAACTCATTTCAGGACAAACTTCTCAAATGCCAGACGAAACTGATAGCTGCAGAAACTGATAAGGAAATGCAACTTTCCCTCTTCCACAAGGACACGCTGGAAAAAGACGAGCAGCTGCGAAAGTTGAAGAACCTGCTCGAGGATGCTACGAAAGAAAGAGTGTGTGCCTTCTTTGCCTTCGTCTACGCACTTGGCTTCGGGCTGTGCAAACATATCGAGAATGATCGGTAATCGTGAATTTTGCAGGAAGCGACAGTGAAAATTAAAAAGCAGATCGAAGCAACTCTTGAGAAAGAAAGATCGGAATGGGAGTCAAAGCAGAACAGCCTCCAGCGGGAAGTTCAACTACTGCAGAAACGATCGGACGAGCTCGACGCAAAACGGAATGACTTGTCGACAGCTCTGGAAAGAGAGAGAACCTCGCATACGGCCCGACGCTCCTCGGGCCAGAAGGAAATTTTCGAGCTCCAGCGACAGCTGATCGAGGCTCAGACTGGATTCAGCGAAGCTAATGAGAAAAATTTCCTGCTCGAGGAAAACCAGCGTCTTAAAGATTCTGAAATCGCTCGTCTATCGAGTGAGCTCTCCAGGTTCGTCCCCATCGTGTGAGCTATGCTCGTCCTCTTCCTCGGAGTTAAAATTACCGTTTTGGTCCTCTACCGCACTCCATGAGAATCATCGCTTCGCTGATAGTGATCGGCAAAGACTGCATTGAATAGCATGTATTGAATAGCGCCATTGTCACTACAGGATCACGTCAGAGCTGAATGATCTGAAGACGAAGGTGGAGGAGAACGAGTGGGCGACGAATGTTGTCGAGAACGCAAAAAATCTCGAGGAGAAGATGAAAATAATGGCACAGTGGGAAACCGAGATCATCCAGTGAGTCGCATTCGCTGTTCACTGACCACTCCCGTCGGATTGACTGCCGTTCCGGCCGATGAAGCGAAGTTGAATTCCTTTCCATCGAACAGCGCAGTACGTTTTTTTTCTGCTTCTCTAGGCTACGGAAGGACAATGAGAAACTGCGGCAAGACCGATCGAATGTTTCGCTGATGAGGGAGAAACTTTTCATGCTGGAGAATATCAAGGATTCCGCGAACAGAACCCGTGAGCGATGTGCCGAGCTCGAGTGCGATCTTCAAGTGAGTTTTTGATTAGTCTGATGCGCCCGTGAAACGAAAGATTCCATCCGGAGAGGGACCGAGATCGCCAGGGTACCGAGAAGCGCTCCTGACCATTGCCGTGCTCGACTAAATCGCCGGGCTTGCCGAGGACTGACCGACTGCCCCCAATGATCCCCGCATTTTTTTCGGAAGAGAAGGCGCGCGGCTCACTAATACCAATTCGATCCTTGATCGGTTAACTCCTTCTTCCCTGATCCAGGTAAGCCAACGACTCTGCCAGGAATGGGAGCAAGGCTTCAATCAGATTGACGCATCATTGAACTCACCGGAAGCCGTTCTGAAACGCATCCAGAAGCTCCAGGCTAGCGAGATGTGCCTCCTTGAGGAGAACAGTAAACTCAAAACCGAGGTTCGCATCGATTTTTGGGAATGATGTGGGAGATAAGTTATTGCCCGGAGAGCCAGAAACTATAATAAATGTCCTTGGACTTGCAGTTGGCTCTCTTAGAGAATGGTCAGCGATTGGAGAGTAAAGAGGCCAAGACAATCAAGCGTCTTGAGCGCAAGTTACGCTTGATCGCCAAGGAGCGGGACTCCTACAGGAGCGTTCTCGACTCCTACGAGAACGATGTGACTATCAACCCGGTCTCCATGCAGAGCAGAAGGGTCGCGACTCTCGAATCCTTCGTCGAGGAATACCGCAAGCTCATCAGCGAACTCGAAGCCGACGGATGTCATCGTGCGAAGCAGACTGCCACAGTCGAGGTTCGAACAATCATTATATCATCTGGATCACACAGCTAGGAAGATGATGAGGCATTGAAGCACTCAAGTGATTGTCTTTGACGAGAAAACTCAATATTTCAGGTCCAGACAGAATCGGCTGGGCAACAGAACTACGATGATGGGCTCCGACTGATTCACTTCAGAATGAATCCCCTGGATATAGCCCATCAAGAGAGAATCGATCAACTCAAGGAGATACAGAAGGAGAACGATTTCCTCCGGGCGAGAGTGAAAGCTCTCGAAGAACGCGGTAAGCTCCATCGATCGAACTATATTCGGAAGCTGCTCTACACCACAGCATTCCAATCAGTTTTTTACTTCCAGGGGTAGCCGACCAGAGTGTTCCCGACTTGTCTTTGTCCGAGTTGATGAAGGACGACCCTCGGAAACTACGAACGGAATTAGAAGCTGCCAAGAAGCGTCAAGAGAGAATTATGGCCGCTTTCAAAAAGACATCCAAAGAATTTCGACAAGCTGTCTACTGTCTTACCGGTGCGTAATCTACCTGTCCGTCAGTCCCACCGCTTCCTGTGGGAAAACGATCACCTGAGCGGCATAAGTTCCCCCGAATACCAGCTTTGCGATGTCGAACCAACCAAAGAGTAGAACTAATAAGTTCGAGATTCGATTCCTGCAGGAGTGATGAAATTTGTCAATGTCTACAGGTTATCGAATCGATATGACAGCTAATCGTTGCGTGCTCCGTCACGTTTACGCGGACCATCCCGATGACCAACTGGAGTTCGAAATTGCTGAGAACGGATTTCTACATCTTCTCAGTAATGAATACTCGCTCAAGTCAGTCCGAGTGGATGTCCCATATGTGGTCAATATATGGATGCTTAAAGAGTCCAGGAGAGGCAGATACGAATCTCGTCGCAGCTCCGTGATACCTCGATAATTCGTTTCTCTAGATCAGTGTTCCTCAAGGATTTTCCGTCAGACCATATCAGTGTTAACTATGAACCCGTGCTCTACCACGCTCCACGTCTCATACTTCCCGCACCGATGCAGAAGGGCTAGCGCTCCACGTTGAGGAACACTGCTCCAAATCGAATTCGGGTGTCACATCCTACACTTGTCGTATCTCCATCATTGATCATGGTTTTCGTTCCATTTGCAGACTGGATCAGCTGACGAGTACCTATCTCAGGGACATGGATTCGATTCCTGCGTTTCTTTCGGCTCTCACATTGCAATTGTTCAATTCTCAAACTGTTATGCAAATAGAACAGCCATCAATGTTTGTCATGAATTAATGTAGGAGAAATCATCCGCGCCATCGATCCGCCGTGAAGACGGGAGCATTCCGAAGTAAAATAAAGAATATTACGTCACCTCTGGGCGCTGATTCCCCAGGGACTGTGATCTACTGCGCCTACAAAATCGATTCTTTCTCGGTATCGCCCCCTTACACCCGGTAATATAGATAGGGACTAAGAACTCCCCCCTCGCGGAACGCCTATCCTCTGGATTTATCCCGATATCCCAAGTGGAGCTGGCGCTGTTCATGAGTGAGATTCCCGACAAATCTGATTCTCCCTCTCACTTGCTGTGTATCGAAATTCTCTGCGGTGTCAGCAGTAGGTAGGTAGGAGTTTGGGTGTTTCCGCCGCTTGTGCTCCATTATATCCCGCTTTCCTCTGACGATATGTGGAGCCTTCTACGCATTTGCCGAGCCAGTCCCCCTTCTAGTTGACGTTGACGCCTCTTCCGATTCGACTCGGCTTTCGTCCTGCTCCAGCTGCTCGTCGGAAACATCCTTTGTTGCCATCGCGAAAAATTAATGCGCCTTCGATATATTATGACGTCGAAGTAGCTGAGATGACGAAGGATCCGGTAGGAATGAATTCAGGATGCCGAGAGCGATCGATTTTTCGGAGGAAGATATTCAGGAGCGTGGTGATTCGCGGCTTGGTTTTCATCGCGACGTATGTGTTTGTACCCACGATGTCCCCTATCCATGCGGCGGAGAGAGGTCGAGTCTCGGATCCTCCGGGGAAAACATCGCCCGCGGAATTCCGGGAGACGATCCATCGGTTGGGACGAATTCTGGGGACTCTCGAATCCTCCGTTCGACTTAACTGTCCTACCTGCAGACGTCGATAATAATCTTCGATCCGAAAGACGGAAACTCGACCTTTGGAATGATCAGTCAAGTCCATCCGAGATGAGTACCCTTAATCCATTTCGGGGTCGGTGCCTGTATCATTCTCGTCGATAATCCGGCGGCATGCGGAGTCGGACTTCACATTTGCGGGAGTTCAATTCCCGCGGCAGGAGCCGGAACCTTCCGAGGGCGGAAACGAGTGCCCTTTGACTTACGCGCCGGACGATTTTGACCACTAGGTTTGACGGCCTTGAACTTCCGTCGGGATGGACATCAGAAATCCGCGTTCTGCCGAATGGTACGCACGTGGGAAACGTGATTGGCCGTTTGTCCCCAAAAGGCTAGTGCCAGACCCGCCAGGTTGTTTTTTAGAGACTTGGCATACATCATTCAGGACGGTATCATTCTCGTGCGTGGTGCCGTTCATGGGCGCGCCGCGCTTCCCTCGTTCAGAAGAGACCGCAAATGCATCCATGCTGCTTCCGATTGGTGGAGCGCTAGCCGACGATTCGCGAAGAGTGGGTTTATTCTTTTGGCGGCGGAGAGCGGAATTCGGAGATCATCGACAACAGGTTCGTATTGTCCGAAATCGAGTGGAATAGACGCGCTCGTTGTATGCGAATAGGTCACGAGCTGCTTTGAGTCATTGATTCCCTCCTCCGCGCCGAAACGTCGAAGCCCAGCAGACCCGGCAAGCATACGTCGATGGTTCGCTATTCCGTTGCCTGATGAGAAACTTTCAAACTCAGAGCCGGGAAGCGGAAACTATGACTGTGGAATCTTCAGCCCCGAGCATTCGGGGCGGCGTGTAGCGGACCGTCAAATCTGATTGGTCGTAAACAGGATTTCTCAGCATCTCTCGTATCGTTCATGATCATCTGTCTAAACGCGGAGGTTCTATACCGCGGGGTCGATGGGACGGGGATCGGTGGGACGCTCGGACCTTGTGGTCATGTAGGCCTACGGGGGGGCAGTGACTTTGTAAACTTTGCCATCCGAGAGGACAGAGAACCACACATAGAGGAGGGCCCGCCCGCCCCTATCAGAGTATTCTCGTGAATATCAAATCTTTCTAACATCAGACTCGAGTTTCTGAGCATGATCCATGATCGCATTTCAGCCGTCCCGAACTCGAGTTCCGTACTCGAGGCTACAGTCAACACAAGATACAAGAGAACAGTTTCGTGAGGAACAATGTCATCTTCGTCTTCAGCGTTATCGAGCTCGGGCGAAGAAGAAGCGCCACCCCCCAGGCGGACGAGTAAGCACACTGGAGATTCTTTGAGCGCAGACATGACGCAGGAATTTCGACGGCCGGATCTATTATAGCCGGAGCGTCCTTTCAATTTTGCAGGGAGCTCAACGAGTCGTCAAGCTCCAATTAAGCGACGATCGCGAACACCGACGAAACGGGTTGTGTACAGCCCGGAGAGTTCCTCCGACGAGGAGATTGCGCCAGCCAAGAGAAGAAGAAATCCTCCACGCTGTAGGTTACGAACATTTAGATATACTCCTCTTATACCTCCCCCTGTTCCGGAGTTTTAGTGGAGAAACAGATTGATAACAAATATCCTAACTCGACAGCACCGCAGAAAGCCGCAAATGACAGCGATCCCGCCTCTACTGAACGCAACACGAGAAATGGTGAATATGCGCAGAATTAGGGAAATGCGCGTAGAACATTCTGAGCCTCCAGCTCGCAAAACCTCCTGAGAGGCGATCCTCTTCAGCGTGATGACTTAGTGTATCCAGATATAAAACCCGATTATAAGTCTGACGGCGTCTCTGAATTTTCTCAGCGAGAAAACGTCGCTCCGTGAGTTTCGTCAACTCGCCTCAAAAAGATGATCAGGGGAACGGAGCTGAGGCAGAGTCCGACTCTGATACACCAACTCCCAGAGAATCGTCGCCGCTGAGAGAGCAACAGAAGACAAGGACGCCCCAGACTTCGGTCGGTAGTCCCAGAATGAATGGCACAGTTCGAACCCCGAGAGCAAAAGGTTTGAGGAAGTTCCTCCATACAGCGATGTCCACAATACCAGAGATCCCTCGGGGAATCTTTCGATTGGAATCCCGCAACGGGTCGAGGACCGGCTGGCCGCTGCATTCACTCAGTTTCTCAGCCGGCGGGGAAAACCTTTTGATCGAATCGATTCATTTTCAGCAGACATAATCCTGGAGGAGAATTTCGTCCATGCGTTGAAAATGAGTGAGTTCGAAGGTTTCAGATGCATATTGCTAATCATTGTATACAGAGAATTTCCCGCTGCTCGGACCACCAATGTGACTGTGTGTGGCCGGATCACACTCGAGGGAATCGAATGCTAATTACCCGATCTGCCTCCAGACACAGCCATGATGGGTGATCTCGCAGCGGAATTGCGTCTCTTGCGTGAAGCCGTCGTATCGCAAAACCGGATGCGGTCAACCTGAAGAATTCTCTTTGTGCGGAGAAGGCGCGCTTGAGCCTTCGACCCCCACTTGGAGACGAAGCCTCCCAAAACTCCCTTTTCGACCATGATATCTTCTCCACATCTCGAGGGAAGAGTTGCATACTCCTTAGGTAGCTCATCGATGAATGACCAATTTGCCCGACACGTCACCAGGGGCGATCGATCTCGGATATAACGCAGGGAGGCTCTATCTATAAGACTGTTCAGAACGAATGCCAGGAAGAGAGATCCCGGTCTGAGGAAATTTTTGTGCTGGGGAAGGTGAGCCTCTCGAGCAGCGCTTGTTGCCGCTCGAGGGAGAACAAACGCCTCGTACGACGCCTAGGCCATTACTTGGACAAGCTTTGAGATCCTTCAGAGACGAAGTTACTTCAAGGACATTGTGGAATCTTCATAAATTGTGGGAGATTCCACAGTGTCGAGGAATCTAAATTGGATGACATACTTTTGGACGCTTAGACAGGAACTGATTCGATATCATATGTCCTTCGTACCTGACCTTTGATCACTCGATGACTAAATAAAAACGTGTCGTTTTCGGAAACCATTTATGACATTTTCCTTCAATCACGCTGCTGCTCTCCTTCCCTGAGGGGCTCTGAGAAATTACGGAAACGAGATCGGCTTTCGAAGCTCCGCGGCTCCCGTCATTGGAAGATACCCTTGAATTCGAGCTGTTTGAGTTCGTCCTCTGTCAAATTCAGCTCTTTGATCTCCTTTTCGATCCACTCTAACGTCGACTTCTTCTCTTTCTCGAAGGCTTCTTGTTGCTCCTTTAGACTTGCGTGGAAAGCCGCCATTCTTTCAGCTTTCACCTGAGGAAAGAGGCATCGGACTGAGAATACCCCACGGGGATCGAAGCTGTCGTCGGTGGGCGCATCCATATATCCTCAGATCGTAGCAGCAGGGCTTCCTGCGAAGAAATTCCCAAAACCATATTCACCTTGTCTGCCCATTCTTGTGTGAGCCGACGCAGTTCTCCCTTACGCGTGATTTTCTGATGAGGTTTCCCCAATGGGAAAGGAGTATGCTCGATCTGGAGCGCCTCCTTCACGAAGTTGTATCTGATGAGAGACACGAACATAGTATCTCCAGTCGCCGACCAGTAGCTTCGCCAAATCTCGAAATCTGCGCACATCCGATCGCTATGATCGGAGCTGAGTGACTGACATGAGACAACGACCTGCCCCCACGACGAACCTTTCCTGATCCAGCCGACCTAACATTTTGAGGAGCTTGTTGCGCTTGAGAACGATTACGTTCAATGACCCTTTCAATTTATAGTTACGCTGGTGCTTCTCGAATGCTTCTCTGTACAGCCGAATGCGGGAAGTTTTCGTGGCAACTGGAAGGAGCGGTGCGTTCGAAGGGATAGTCAGACACAATTTCTTCGAAGCTCAACTCTGTAGGCATCCACACACGCACCCATCCATTAGCTAATTTTCCGCTCAGGGATATTTATGATCTCGGCCCGTGGTGTAGTTCTGTTCATTGCCGTGGACTTACTTGTATACTTACTCTTATACTCCAGGGATTCCTTGTCGTACGGATGTCTGCGAACGAGATCGAGGAGTTCCTCTGTGGCAGCTTGATTGATCTCTGCTTTCGGCGCGAAATCGAGGCTGAAGACTCTCCGGATAGCTTCAGGAGCTCTAGAAGACGATTGAGTGAAAGTACGCGATTCGATTCGATCAGAAAGGATCGCTTTCGATCTTCTGAGAGCTCGCGAGACTTGATTCCATTCTCTCACTTACTTCTCGAGCTCAGGCAATTTAGCGAAAGCTCCTCTTGGGCGTTGACCATCCGACGGTGGGAGTCCGCTTATCTTATCACCCGATGCTTCGATGGCACTCTGCTTCTGGGGGTATGTCCATTTGAAAGGTAAGTATTCGATCGGCCAGGTCAGGATTGTACGCGGACGCCGACGAAATCTTCTCGGCACTGTGTCCATCACGGCAGGTCTGAGCATCGCGCACACAGAACGCAACATTTTGAGTCCTGTTTCTCTCCTTGCGCTTCGCGGGACTTCCGTGGGCTACTTGACCCCGAATATTAATCTCCGAACTGGACGATCGCGCACCGGAGAACACAACAGAGGGCTCCCGGAACAGCACGCGTATCAGACTTCCGCGGTTTAGCTCCGACTTTTAAGCTCATTGGAGTGAAATGGAAAGCCGCGCTGTCTGATGATTTGGTTTCTTGGGCTTATAACACAGAAACCTCACATGCGGATAAGAGGTCATCTTTTGAGGAAGATCTGATAAGGGATCGCGGCGTCGCTTCAGATCTCCTGAAGGAAGGCGTTGCTACCGAAGCAGTGAGACATCGAGGGGCTACCTCGGGGGCGGTGCCATCGACAGAGTGCGGACTGTTTGTGGGTCTCCCCGCAATGATCCTGACGTTGGCATACTCGTGGCGGTCAACCCGACGCAAGGAAACTCTCCATTCGTCACCAAATTATTTTTATTAGAAAGACTCGTTTTCCGTGTTGAAGTTTTGAATATCATCGATGATACCATGCATTCTTGATTCAATTCTCGCATGGAACTACGCATCGAACTTCAAGTTTTGGCTTTGCGGGACACTCGAGGCGTTGAGATCGAATTCTCCAGCTCTTGTCGTTTCAGCAGAAGTGTCTGAAATTCGGAGCAATTTTTCAGTGCTCCGATTCGTAGCAAGCGGAAAGGGATTTCTATGCAGCTCATTGATTCAGTAAAAAGACGCGACCTGCCGCAAGGTCGAAAGTTGCGATAGAATTTTCTTCTGGTCGTTGACGGTGCCGTGGCATTCGATTTCTAGCTCAGAGGCAGCCGACGGTGGTCTTCTGTTCCTACGAAGCGAAGAAAGCGAGTTGTTGCTCTTCGAACGAGTCAACGACGAATGCGAGTGATCTATCGATTCCTCGTGATTCGAGTCGTGGCTCGAACCTCTGGTAGCGTTCAAATCTTCGGCGCTCTGCAATCTCATCTTGTTCAGGAGGGCCGGCACAGGTGGCGACTCCGCTCGATGTTGGGGAATGTACATCTGGAAATGGTTTTCTCCTTAGTACCGCGGACCGAGGAGATTCCAGACCCTGCCATATCAGTGACCAACTCACCGACTGCGATTTCCACGTTTTGCGGGGAGCTGGTGCCGGGATAGTGGGCTCATTTTTGGTGATTTCCGTACTGCGACCTCCAGAGAGCGGTCCTGCAGAGGCAGTAGCGGAAACTTCGCTGCTGTCGACACCGTCATCACGAAGGCCTGAGGATACAGTCGAGACCTCGGTTCATAAAGGTTGGGAGCACCACAACACGACTTCTTTTAGAAGTCGTCTGAAGCCGATCGTTCCACCATCATAGTCGGACCCGTACCTTTACCGATAGCTCCATCCGTCCCATAACCGTTGTGTTCCGGGAAATCTGACCCTGTGTCGTTGTTGGCGATCGACAGGTCCGTGTCTGATGTATCCACTCGTCGCGACGTTTGTCGAAGGGACTTGGACCGCGAGCTGCATGTGGATTGGATTTTAATTCCAACGCCCTCTGGCTCGTCTAGCCGGGGTAACGAGGAAAGTGATATCCCGGAGCATACCTGTGACGCGAATCGAGTCTAGCTGATGATCTAGGATTCCGATCGTGGTCGGTATTGTTGGCACCAATACGTCTACGGGTGCTCTGCTGCCAGGCGTTCTGCTGTGTCATCTCACGCTCCCAATGCTGTTTACGAAGCTCCTAGAATTTTGGTGAAGATCCGATAATTGCGGAAAGTTGCGGAGTAGAATCCAATCGAGAGGAATAAGAAAAACACAATCCTCAGTAATACCTGCAGTTTCTTCCGTGTGTGCATGTTGGGATCGCGATCGGTATTCTTAATGTAGGCATGATTAGGAATATTCGCATTCCAAGGAGGCCGTTTGTTCTTATCGCGTTCCAAGCCTCCCGTCGATACGGGCTTGCGTCGCCTAGAGCTGCGCCCGTTCACGGGAGAACTCGGAGCCGAGCTTGGAGGTGACATATCCTAGTGAACAGAATGGGAGGGGAGAAGATGTTAGGATCGCTCGTGGTCGAAATCGTGCCCGAGAGATCCGCAGTCTCCATCATCCTCCGCGGCAGAGAGTCAAAATGGCATTCGAAGATGATTGATTGGTCGGTCGATGCTCTCTCAGCTTTGATGGGAAGATTCCATATTTTTATTCAGCCAAATTCATCGGTGGATTAGAGATTCTCCGCGCTTACCCTCAACATGCTCCAGTCTGTCTGTACGGCCGAGCTCTTCAAGTTCTTCATGCTCTGGCTGCGTTGTCGCAACCGGAGTATGGTCGGAGTGAGCACACGGTCCTCGATGTACGTCGGGGTCTGTGTATAAAATGAAGTGAGGATCGGCAGTCTTGCATGCACATGGCACGAGCACGAAGAGTATCCGGTACGCGGCGGCGAAGGCATCTGTTCAAAGCGTCAAGCGTTGGTTTCCATTCTCGGTTCGAGCAGGACATTCGCGAAAAACGAGTAGACAGCCAGCGATTAGACACGGAGTTCGGACTTACCGACTCCACATACGCTTGGCACTTGTGAATCATAGGGACTTGTTGGTGGAGCATATTATTGCACGGGCCATTCCCGGAGTCCAAGAAGGCTGATGAGTAAATTGTCTGCATTTGCGGCGGAGCTGCTCGGTTGAAGAATCCATGGTCAAGACGGATATGCTCATTCCGCAATCGCCCCCGAATCAGGCCCCCTTCCTGACGCGACCCCATCGGAAGATACTAGCTTACCGGCAGGGAAACTCGGAGAAGTTGCTTGTTGTGATATCAAAATTCCTTGATTCATATGTTGTAGCTGACTCTGACAATTCAGATCAATGGCATGAGGCGACGCTTGCGCCGACAGTCGATTCCCCCCATGAGCGCTCGGCAAGTTGGAGGACGTCGCCAAAAATCCTGAGTTGGTTCTTCTCGGCGCAGGCAGAGGGGGGGAATTCGAAAGACGACTCCTGGTGCGTTCTATTGGAGGCGGCGAGGGCAGTTTGAGCTAATGAGACGAAGAATAAATCACTCCCTGGCCTTATTTACAATTTGTGGGTCTCAACTCAGATTCTGAGGGCCCTCCAATAGTTGGATCATTGTTGTTGATTGTCATGGATGAAGCTTTTGAGTGCCGCGGGGGACGCCGGGGTCCCTCAGTTTTCTCGAAATTCCGGTTAATTCCGGACGGTGAAACTTGAACGGAATGAGCTGAAGAAACAAAGATTCATCTCTTTTGAATCCCATGCGGGAGATCTGCTCACCACATTTTGGACACTGGCTGCTATAATCTCGTCCTGAGGCAGAGCCGAGTTGGCGTTTCGTCGGAGGCGCATTCTGCGAGCCTCGTCGGCGGCTGCCTCGGCTTCTTTGACTTTTTCTAGAAGAATTTGTCGCGTCCGTTGTTCAGCCTCCTCTTTAATCCGAATTTTTCGCTGCTCGTCTTCATATTGCTTGCGTAGTCTCTCACGTTCTTCGTTTAATTTCCGTTCAGCCGCCTGGAACCGTATCGGTTTGGAATACATCGACTTGAGAGAGTGATTTGTAGGAGCCTATTGAGCGTATGTGATTCTCCGAAACCAGGCTCATCGAACCTCTTCCTCGAGTTTTGTTTTTAATTCTTCCTCCTGCTTTCGTTTCCGTTTCTCTTCAACTTGCTGCTCTATTGCACGTCGATACTCCGCAGCTTTCTGAGCCTTCTCGAGACGAATTCTGAAGAAGGATAGAGGGTTCTGGGCTCAAGGGACTGTTGATGCGTAATCACCGAAATACTCTGAGGCTCTTCAAGGGAAATGATGATTCGCTCGTGATCTCAACTTACATTTCAGGATCTGCAACGTCGCTCACGAGAGAGCCAAGTCGTTTCTTCGCTTCGTCTGCCATCGAATATCGCCCCGATGAGGGAGCTTTGCCGGCTTGATGGTCTGCAGAACGAAATCATTTTTATCTTGCGATTGTCGTTCGATGACTCCTAAGCTAGGCATGAAGAATGTCTCTCACCGGTGAATTGTACGTGATTGGCGTTCTCCATATTGAGTATGTTTGTGACCCGCGGCCCGGAGTTCCCTTCAGTTGACAATTGCGGGGTTACCGCGGCTACGGGCTGAAGTCTCCGACCCTTGTGAGGAGTTCCCACCATTGAGGGCGTACCCCAATCCTTCATAGCCTGCGTGGGAGAGAGAGGAAATCGAGGGTGTCATCAACACAATGCTTCAATACTCGTGATGCTCCCGACTCGAAGCTCAGACTAATACGGGGCAGCGGATGAGTTGAAAGATAACCTGAAGCTCGGCACGTTCACGCTCCCACTGCAATTGTTTCTGTTCCATCTTCGATAGCGGTCTTTGTGGTATCGGACTCTTGAGGAAGGGACTCAGTTCCGGCTGCGACTGCGTTCGGCTCATAGACAGATCCTGCGGCAGCTCACTTGCAAGGAAGGTTCGAGTCTCATTCTTCAGTTCAAGATGGAGAATTCATTTCGGCCAGCTCCGGCCATGAAGTACGATCGGAAACCAAACTCACTCATCATCCTTCTGACTCAAATTGCCGTTGGATATCGAAAGATTGCCGGCCAGTGAATAGAGATGAGCGCGCTGAGCGGAGCTCACGAGCTTCTCAAAGTCCTCCTTCGATAAGGTCACCACGTTTTGCGAACTCGGACCCCCTGCCCAGGTCTCGATGGACTCCTGGAAGGGAAATCAGGAGCATCCTAGAGAATAAGACGATCAAATCGAATGTAGGTGCGTTCCCTTATCTTCCACTCCGACGAGAATTGAGTTCTTTTTCAACACGTGATCGGTATGGATTTGCAGGAGAACGGTCTCAGAACCATTCGTGTACCCATCGCCCCACGGGAATGCAGCACGCTCATTGTACGACCATCTCTCCTCGAACTGATTCGAGAGGCATCCCCGTCCTCACGTCTGTTCCGCCTGGATCCGCCCAATCGAGTATCGCCCTCGAACTTTCGCAGATATCCATTCGCGACAGAATCAGTGGGAAAACATCAATTCACCGCAATCCGAGCGGAGCTACCCAAACTAGCTCTAAGCAGACCGGCGAGTAATGTGAGCACTTCAAGAGAATGATTTCCTCACCCATATCGGATGGATTTTACGTAGCGCTCCTGGGATCAGCGGTCGGCTCGTCAGAGGCAGGAGCCTCGCGTTCCTCGACATCTCTCTGTCGAGCCTGCCGATGCCTCATTTGTCTCAAGGAGCGCGTTTCCGAGTCACGGGGTGAGCCTCGAACTTGCGAGAATGAATGTCACACGCACACATCAAACTACTTCTGAACAGGGTCTCGCACTTGTCGAATTCACCCTCTAGCAGATAGCAGGAGGTTCAGCTCGTCAGACATCGTGAATTGGACTGCGCCAACTCACTAGGTAGCCCATGAAGCGTGGGGTCATGCCCCTGATTCGGATGAGCTTGAGCGCACCGGGGAGGTCGTATCTACGCTGGCCGCGGGCGTAGCTATCGTAGACGGCAGATGCCGGGACGGACACCGAACATCGAGGGCTACCGAAGGCCCTATGAGATGGGGAGCAGAAGCGAATTCTCCGTCATCAGGAGCTCGAAAGACGCGCTCTTTTTTTTAAAGTTACCCGGCGCTTCGTCGAATTCGATCATCAATGCAATGGATGCGTATGTCAATAAGTGAGTCCGAGGGAGATCCGAAATAAGGTGTAAGTCCGGTACAAAGGTGCGTCGGAAGTCAGGGGTGCGTCCGAAAGGCTGCGGCGTCTTCTGAGCGAGGGAACATGATAATGAGCTCTGGAATACGCAAACTCATTTCTGACACAGAAACGGTGCCAATGCGCACATTGGAGGCACCCCAACGAGTCCATCGGAGAGATTTGGTTGGGAGGTATTCCAGCGCCGCGAAGTCAGATCGACTCAATTCGATGGATCCACTCTGGCATTGAACGATCGAAGGCCGAAAAAAAACGAACTTGCTCTGGGGCAGCGAGGTTGGAGGATCGAGCTCTCCCACGGAACCAGGTCAAATAGCAGAATTTATATACGTAATTATACCGACGTTTCATCGTCGTGTAGACACGCCGCTTCCGGGTCCGGGTGGAGCGTGTCCACCCATAGGATGGACAACACTCGCGCAGCCGTAACTGAACCGAGAAATCGTTATCTTGAGTGATGCCATCAGTTCCCTAAAGGGGGAGACGAAGGCCGAGGGAGGGCAGATTTAACTTATAGATTCGAGCTCGGGCTTCTCGGAGATGAGCTGAAACTTCTGGTGAGCTCCGCGGGGGACCTCTCCGGATGGGGGGGAATCTTGAGCAACAAAGCGCAAAACCCCGGATCCTCGAATGGGCCCTCGATCCCTAAGGGCGGCGTTTCTCGTACAGGGCACCGACTTTGCTCATCCCCGGAGCCGAGGAGTAGCCCTCGCCAGTTCTGGTCAGTCAAAGCGAATCTGAAGCGAACGATCGTCATCTGACTGCGGCAAATGACGGAAGAGAAGCAGACTCCGAGGAAGGGGGGGGAAGATGTGAATCGCTTGCGGAGAGAATCAGTCACTTCTCACCGGCAACGTGGACGCCCTAGAACACTCTCACACAATTACGAACCCATCGCGAATGATCCATGGCTCTGAGACTCGTTGCACGACATCATCCTATTCCACCGAACACCGGACGGAACGCCTAAGAGACTCCTCCACGGAGCAGGAGCCGTACGCTATTTCCGAGCTGCGCGCACTGCGGTATCGACCATACCCATGGTGATTCACAGAGGGTTAATATCTCTTCTGAAAACATCTCCCGCTCGAGGGTGTGGAGCCTACCTCTCCAGTATCTACGGCCATCACCGTTCGAGGGAAACTGGGTTGATATGTGTCCACTTCCGCATGTCAATTTCCGTGGGCCGACCTCAAGTCTCCATGGAGATCGCGCCCCAATTCAAAACATCCCTTGCCCGTCATTCAAGACGCTCTCTCCCCTCCACGGATCTCATTCCTGAATTCGGCGCTGCGGTGCGGCGGCCGGGCGTTAGAGTGAACCGACGAAGACTCCCAAAACTCGAGGGAAAAATTCAGAAGTTTCGTCCGATCGTACGGAAGGAATGAGCCGATCGTTCGAGACAGCTCTGACATCCACAGTCAGCTCTCGGGAAGCGAGAAGTTCGAACTCTCGCGCGAACAGAATATGGCGCCGCTTTGTTTTGAACCGAAGAAAGTCGTCTGCGAGCGGTAGGCATCCTTTTCGTTTGGGAGCTCGCAGGCCACACGTGGCGGACTTCCAAAGGTATTGATTTTTAGCTAATAAGTGCTTTTCCCGAGCATGAGGGGGTGCTATGGTGGAAGTCTGAAAGTCTTCGTTCGAGGGAATATGGAAACCGGTGCGACAGTCTCGAAGATGAGCGGTCTCGTGGGTTCTGGGATCCTCATGCCGCACCGGAATGGCGTGCACGATGGACCTCACAGGAGCTGAACGAGGCGATCCGTAGTGAGATGTTGCCCATCATAGCGAGGTGGAACGAATACATTGCTTGGGTCGAGTTCTCATAAGTTGAAAAAACCGGTTGCTTGAGGTAACCGCCCCGAGTAGAAGACTGATTACGGCAGCTCATTGCAACCCTCACTAATGGAGAATACGTCCGAGCTTCCATTCCTGTGACGTTAGACCTAATCGGGAAATTAGCCGTACATATACTTCCGTAGTCCTTCAAATACCCCGCGTGTGAATGGGCTCGTTGTGCAACACTGAAAAACCCCCCTCCCTTACAGATGGTGAACGGACGAGTCCGTAAAGTATGTCGGAAGACGTATTCCACGCCTCGACGTCCTTACGAGAAGGAACGTCTTGACCAGGAGTTGAAACTCATCGGAAACTTCGGTCTCCGCAACAAGCGCGAGGTATGGCGTGTCAAACTGACGCTTGCCAAAATCCGCAAGGCTGCCCGTGATCTTCTCACCAGAGAAGAGAAGGATCCCGTCAGATTATTCGAGGGAAACGCTCTCCTTAGACGTCTCGTGCGTATTGGGGTCTTGGACGAGTCCAAAATGAAACTCGATTACGTGCTCGGTCTCAAGCTCGAGGATTTCCTCGAGAGGAGGCTCCAGACTCAGGTATGTGCTCCATGCGGTATAATCGATTGCAGCGTGGATCTCAGCGTCTGATTTGGGAGAAGTCGACGTCATCCGTCGGGAATCTCTGAACTGCTCTGATCAAGTCGACCATCAATTCTCCTCTCAGGTGTTCAAACACGGTCTGGCCAAGTCAATTCACCACGCTCGAGTGCTCATCCGCCAGAGACACATTCGAGTCCGGAAACAGGTCGTCAACATCCCATCTTTCGTTGTGCGACTCGACTCCGAGAAATATATCGACTTCAGCGCGAGATCGCCCTTCGGCTCTGCTCGCGAAGGACGTGTGAAGAGGAAGAACAAGAAGAAGGGCCAGGGAGGTTCCGGCGGCGCTGACGAAGAAGATGAGGATTAAGCCAGGAATCCTGAACTCGCCCCGTGTTGTCTGAATAAACATTTGGGACAGCTTGTGGCAACTCATCGCGTTTTGATTTCTGTGGAGGTATCTGTCTGCATGCGGTGCCTCTCTGGTGTCAAGAAAGTCGAATAAGCCCGAGCCCCGTCAAGAACTCAGGTTCGGCGATTGGAACAGAAGGGGTCATACAATATTAGGCGACGGGCGGTCGAGTGGTTCGCGTCTTTGTCACCCCTCTTTCAAACGTACAGAGCCGCAACGACGCCGTTCGCGCTGAAAGTGGTATCGGTTCGATCCCTGCTGCTGGAAGGATATTCCTTTCGGAAGCGCAGGTACTCGGTCTCGATCCTCCTGGGTACATTTTCTCGATGGATCCGTCCTCGGAAGAAATGTGAATAACAATGCTCGAGACCTTGGCTGTGTGCTCAAGCCCGGAAGAGTGTTTTTAGATTCACAATGTTACCGAGCTAGCCCATTGCCACCAAACAGTTCATCATTGACGCCTGAAGTGCGAAACTCAGAAGATGTGACAGCCCTCATTACGAAAGCCGAGATTTGTGGGGCCCTCTCGGCGAAGGCTGGAAGTTCTGGAAGCCAGGGTCGCGAGCTTCAAAGACTGTAGGAGCCCTAATCGCGAGAGCCAGAAGTTGCGAATGCTAGATGACTTGGTTCCCCGAAGGAGGTCAAAACGGAATCGGAAGCTACGCCTGCCATGTCTTCGATATCTGAGGAGGACAATTCGCGGCTCCCAGGAAAGGATGCCTGAGATCCCATCTCTGGAAAGTTCGAACAGTCCATTCGTGATGAATCAGTCATTTATGATTCTTGGCTTGCTGAGGTATGGGCCCATTCCAGGGCTCCAAATCCGAACTTGAGGCTATTGCTCCATTCGAAATGTCTCCCCCCTTAGCCCCGAAGCACATAGCGTAAGAATTCTCCACATCTACCCCTTGCGATTTTCTGACCGACAAGCGTCGAGAAGAAGAATAGCGAAACTTCACCTGCTTGCCAGAAAGATTCGAGGACAGGATCGTGAAAATCACGATGTTTCGTGTCGCTTCCAAATCTGGCCCCCGCCGCGCTCTCGTGAGGCCGAACCAAGTCAACTCCAGTCCCGCTTCCGGGCTCTCCATCTTCATTACAGAGGCTTTGGTTTCCCATTTCGCCGCCGATCATGAGAAAACTGGACTTGATGCTGATGCTGAGAAGAAGTTCTTCGGATATCGATTGTAAGAAAACCGAGAAAATTCGAGAGTCGAGAACATCTGACAGTACAATGGAGAACCTGGAGATGGGATGAATTCGTAATCCCTCCGCGGACTGCAAGACGAGGTTTGGCTCTGAAACGTTTCTGAAACTACAGGCAAAGGGTAACCGCCCTCCGGAGAAAGAGGAGCAACCATGGTAATTAGGTTCATACAACTTAATCTAACTCGTTGACAGCCTGCCTACGATCTGGCCCTTCAAAACGCTGCAGCCAGTGAAAACAACTACGGCGACCCCGAATTTTTCCCGGAGCCCACGCGCTCCCCCCGAACTTTTTCTCGCGACATCTCTCACGGAGACGGCTCTGCCGACCTCGGATTTTTCACGAAGCCCCCAGGCTCTCCCTTTGCTCCAGCATGCAACACTTCTCACGGAGGCGGCCCTGCCGACTAAACGATTTTCTCGGAGCCCCCACGCTCCTCCCTCAAAAATGCCACGGTGGTGAATCTCAAGCGGAGCGCCTCCGTTCAGGCCCTAAACAGCTCGATCCCGGTCACGATGCTCCCGAGCACGAACTCGATTGTGGCCGTGACCATCGGTGATATTGAAGTCCTTTCCATCTTTGTCTCCCCTGACTGCTTGATTGCAGAGTACCACGACTTCCTCTCCGAACTTGAGCAGCAGATTGTCCAGAGCCGGGGCCATCACCTCCTCATCGCAGGAGACTCCAATGCCCTCCACCCAATTTGGGGAAATCGGAACTAAACTCCGGAGGCGACTCGCTGGCTGCATTCATGGCCACGCAGGACCTCGTCCTCCTCAACCACCCCTGCGTCACGTTCGAGCGCGCAGGAGTCAGGTCCACACTTGACCTCACCTTGTGCTCCGCATCCCTTGCCGAGAGAGTGGATTCCTGGAGAGTCCACACCGAAGAAGAGTCGCTCTCGGATCACCCCATGACTTCATTCGCCACCCTGGACTCCGCCAAGAGATCGGTGCCATGGCGACTCCTGAGTATCGATATGGCTACTTACGAGGACTACCTGGCGAGGGGGATCCCACAACTCCGCGACGAGAGCCCATCGGCCGTCATCGATCTTATTGAACGAGCGTGCTCGTTCTCCGCTAAACGATCACATCCCCGAGCTCCCCATCGGAGTCCAGAGTACTGGTGGAACGAGGAGATTGCTAGTTGCTAGCAGCCGACGGGAATGCTTAAGGATACGCAGACGCGTCACGAGGGAGCGCAGGCGGGGCACGTCGGCGGAGCTGGAAGAGGAATACAAGGCGGCCAGGAAAGCCCTTAGACGGGAGATATACATCGGTAAAAGTGATTCCTGGAAAGCTCTACTCGAGGAACTCAATGAGGGAAAGCATCCTTTCGGCAAAGCTTACAAAATCGTCACAGGAAAACTGAGGGAATACTCACCCCTCCTGATGGAGGAGGAGTCCTCCCGCATCATCGGAGACCTGTTTTCCGCAGGTGACCCTCCTCTCCCTCTCTTATCTCCTCTAGGCGAGCCTTTCGAGTTCCCGGGGATCCTCGATTCGGGAATCGACCATGTCCTTGGTAGACTCAAGCCGAGGAGGGCCCCCGGTGAAGACCTGGTACCAACTGAGGCTGTCGAGAGCTTCATCCGCTGTCACCCCGACACCTTAAGGAATATGATGACCAATATCTTTCGAGCCGGGAAATGGCCGGATCGCTGGAAGACAGCGAGGCTGGTCTTGATCCCGAAGTCGGGAGCCAGTACGTACCGCCCGATGAGTTGCTTGGCCAGCCTTTCAAAAGCGGCTGAGCACCTCGCTCATCTTCGACCCTCCGCCGACGCCGAGTGCAAGGGCATGCTGTCCGAAAGTCAGCACGGATTCCGTTCCTTCCACTCCACCCGTGACGCGATCCCTGAGGTCATGAACATTGCGGCAGCCCAGAGGGAAATTCCTGTCCAGCGGAGACCCCACTGCCTCGTAGTACTGCTGGACGTCAGGAACGCTTTCAACACACTTCCATTTATTGCTCACGATCGATCGGAGTCATTGACCCGTGCATCAGACTGACTGAGGCGACCTTTCTCGTGGACCCCTCGACGAGGATACGGTACGGGAACTTCGTCAGGGAGATCCCTCGGGTCGGGAGGGGCATTTCTCCGGAGATTGGGAGAAGATTGAGATCCAACTTGATGCTCACGATGGAATCTATGCTGTAGATAGAAGTCCGCTGATTTTCGGGTGTCTCATTCCGAGGATTCTCGGACTGTATTCTCGTGAATGAGAGATGAGAGCTCTATGCTGTGGATTGTGGATAGAAGTCCGATAATTTTCGGGTGTCTCATTCCGAGGATTCTCGGACGGTCTTCTCGTGAATGAGAGCTCTACGCTGTGGATGGGAGTCGGATAATTTTCAAATAATAACACGAAAACTGTCGGAGTTCCATCAAGAATCAAGTCCGAGAATTCTCGGGATTGAAAACCCGAAAATTGTCGTAGTTCCATCCAATGAGCCACGGGGTCACAGCGGGAATCCTCGGGTTGAAAGACCCGATAATCCTCAGAGTGGATTGACCCCCGATGATTTCACAGTTTCCATCTCGAGGATTATTGGAGTGGATCCGTGCAAGGGCTCCATCGATAGAGCTCCGAAAATACTCGGAGTTTCAAAGGCCGCGCCGGGCTGGATATCGCAGCCATTTCCCAATATGGCCGACCGTCATCGTCGACGACCATCCGGCCGTGCAAAGGCTGATGTTGTCACAGCTTCTGCTGGATCAGCTGTTTGCCGCACAACACGACCACGGCAGCAACAGCAACGGCACTGCTGCGGACATTCGAAGCGATTGTCAGCCATAGCCGTCGCCGGTGCTTTCGGCGCTTGCGCTAATGGAAAAGGAGGAGAACCTGCGGCGCCGCGAATATATCCTCTCCTCAAGTAGGCACCCCTCCGCTCATTTCTTTTGAGCGCCAAGTTTTTCCAGGAGTGCGACACCAGAGAGGAAGCGAAGCACACGGACCGCGGCAGCAATCTTAGCAGCATGGCACGCAGGAACACGATCATATTGTTCGTTGCGACTGTGCTCATTAGCCAGGTTGGTGTGGACATTCCAGATCAGTGAATTGCATTCGGCAGCTCGTACTCGCCGGCTGGAGGACGCACGACATGCACGATCTTTTTCGTTCAAAAGTTTTCGTGTATTGTGGAGTTCATACGAAGTGTCAATAAGATCACCAGAGCCTGACTCTGTACCGATGAAATTCCTAGGCGCCACTGTCGAATGGAGTGATTTTGCTCAGGTTAAATTGTTTCTCTAGAGGGATGTGTGTAGAGGATTGCGCGTCAGCGTAGGCGCGGTGATGGAGGCGGAGATCGTGATTTACGTTCGATTCTATACCGACGTCCCCGAATGTTATTGTTTGCACCGGCGTGAGCCGAGGGGAAGTTCTCCCACGACGTCGCTGACTGCGTTTCGGTGTCTATCGGGAGAACACGAATTGAAAGAGGGAACGTGTCTCGCTGGAGTTTGGAGTACTTTGGGCGCAGACCGAGCCCGAGGAAGCAACTTCCGGTCGATTTATCGTTCCGCTCGATGGAGAGCTTTGGAAGCTAAGCTGAGTGCCCACTGCCTATTTTCTTTCTGACCTATTCAGCGAGCTCCAAGCTCAAATTTCGACCTCACGCGAGAACGAAGGCCCGTCATGAATACATGGAAAAATAATGAGCACCAGGACTTGAACCCTCAGATTCGTCGTTCGTCTCTGGCGACCGGCGGATTGATTGTTCAGATTCAAACGAGCCCAATAAGTGCTGTCTCGCTGTCTCCAATTGCAGTCAAGGCTGTGATCGTTTTCGCAACTCCAGCTCTGATTGCTGTCCACGTGGATGAAGACATTGTGATGACATTGAATACTACCCGACTGCGGATGCCTCTCGCATTCTGTATCACAGTAATTTTGATGAAGTCGGAGGATCGCTTTGACTTGACTTATCTCTCGGGCAGCAAGGCTCTCGCGCTCCATCGGACGACGAAGGGAACTATTCCCCCGGCCAGAAAACTGAAAACGCAAAACACACATCGAAAAATTCTCATTTTCTGGACAGAAGTTCTCCCCGTCCCCGGAAGCTACCAACATCTAGGTACTCAATGATTCAGTTGGCCGCATATTTTTATCGCGGTTCCTGAATTTCCCTGAAAGTGGCACGCTTACGATGAGAGTCGTTTTGAGCTCTGAATTGTTCGCTATCCGGATGTAATATTGTGAGGAGCTCGACAATTTCCTCACGCGAGATCGGTACACCGTCCCGGTGCTCAATCTTCGGGAAGAACAAGGGATTTCCACGTTTCTGTTCCTCGGTTGAACGACACGCTGACAACTTGTGCATGATTCGAGATAATGGTCGTTCAAGCTCGCGTCTTGACGTAATTGATTGGGGTCCCGTTCGCGGATCTTAAGGTCCCGTTCCCTGACAGAAAAGAATGCCGCCTCCTCCTTACCCTCCCTGGTTGGCATGTTTCTCCCGTAGGAGTCCAATCAGACTACTCTTGCTCTGGACGAGATTGTCCGTGCGATAGTACTCAGAGGATCACGATCCGTCAATTCTCGATGTGTTATGTCCGGAAGTGCTCGTCCTCGTCTAGAGTTTTTCTCAGGTGCAGCCTGCCCACGGACTATTCTACGATATCGCAAGTCTGGGTCTTTGTAACGAGCAGATAGCGATCCAAGTCTGGGGAAGGCTCGTTCTGATTCATTCGATTGCATCGCTAGGGAACACGGGCTCGCTCCGAACGAATCCAAAATTCATGCATTTTGGTGCCTCGAAGTCGAAGGGAATTTGGAAGAATGGAAACCTTGTTGCTATTCATCCTCCCATAAACTCGAGAGTGGTCTAGAAAACACTGATTCGAGGAGAATCCAGCGAATTTGCTTTTAGGCTTTTGACAAGCCAAAGCTGTAGACTTTCGCTAGGATCACGGGCCGAGGCCGGCGGTCCCTGTGGCCTATCCTACGCCCTCAGAGGAGTTCCCGCGTCGACGACGGAAATCGATGATTAGGGATTTCGTTGCATGATACGTAGCGTTGAATGTCTGACTGTTATCGTGCCCGGCCACCGATACTTGTTCACCGGCTGCCTGGTTTCCGAGAGCGGGCTTCAGAGACGGCCAAGATCAAGATGCTCTTCTGATCGACTCAATCAATACCTTGAGCACCAAGCTAAATTCCAGCTGCTGTTGCTGTTCGTGGCCCTCCATACGGAATTCGGGTGCAGCCTATCAGGGTTCTGCGCGGCTCCAGGCGAGCTCTCGCACACGGTGAGATTTGCACGAAAAATCCTACGAATCGACCTAACACGCTACTGTCTCATACCGGGTGGTGGATTTTTCCAATATGCACAATCTATCGCAGCTACGAATGAGTGAAGAGCTGCGGTTAAGATTGCGAGCGGAGTGTCCGCTGGAGATCGGGCAAGAAACGTAGATATGTCATTCCCTTGTCTTTGAATTCGACAGACAACAGTAGAGTCAATGGAGCGATTACATCACCTGACCCTCGAATCTGATTAGCATTTCCATGATCGACCTTGGGAAACTCACAGTTACCACGTTCGACTGTCGTGAAAACTCATTATGCTGTCACTTCTGAGTTATTGCTATTCCGAACTTACCACATAAATCCACGCGTTCATAGATGGCCTGAACCACGTTCAGATACAGTCCGGTTCCTCGGAACGAAAATAGTCTACGCTTATCTCGCCTATCCTGATCGAGTGCTTACGGGCTCACGACATCCCCACCGAGTTTTCGCGATGCTAGAGACCGAAGCGGTCCTCGACGCTCATATATCTGCCCCCTCCACAAGAAGTTTCAATACATGGGCTTCGCGGTTAGCCCGCAAGGGCCATGCCAACTCAAGGGGGCCTGATATTCAACCTCAACTCGCCTTGGTCCTGGAATTAATTCCGATGAATCATGAGCCCGGAGCCCCTGCGAGGAACGGTGGCACTGGTCCATAGGGACCGTATCCCGCGTTTGTCAAGCGTCAAACAGACCTTCATGGTGTCGAAACGTTTGGCTCGAAGTTTCATAAGTAGAACTGAACACCGCCCGGAGGCAGACCTCAGTCTCAATTGAAGCTTCATTAGCGGCTGGAGCTATGAATGGATTGGGTCAACACGCAACAGTAACCACTCAGTCAGTCAAAGTTGTTGTTAGCGATCCGTGGGAACAACAGAGGGCTGTTATGTGCGTGGAGGTGGTATTCTAATGCCATTGTGAAATTCTCTGGGAGCCCCGCCGGGTCTAACTGAAAGCGGGAAGAATCCTTCGGCATGCACCGACGCGGCGCGGTCTCCCGGAAGGAGTGATGTGGCATCGAAGGGCGATACCGATTCACGGATGGAGCTTTGAGGGAGCTCGTTCTCCCAAGGTCGGTGTCCCGGAGAAAAACTCTCCGCCACGCCTCCCCTCTCATGGTCTCCCGAGAATCTCTCTTCTTCCTCGGCACTTCCCCGCGATCTGTATTTTCTGAGAGCTTGGAAATTCTTCCGGACTACCACGGTCGGGTTTGTGGGCTTAATCCTCACCACTTACCCCTGCCTAAATGAACGCACAAGCTACCCAAGGAAGTATCGGATACATTAGGCGATGATCTCGGTACTTCAATTTTGGGTGTGAATACTTCTCATTCGAGTCCTTGAGTCAAGCCTCGACAAGAGAGTCAGCGACCGAATGCGAGGAATCGCGGGACACCACCCATCGTCTCTGGGAGACATCGGTCATCGCTTCGAGTCGCGCTTGACGTGAAGAATGGAATTCTCATCTGCATTCCCAAGGCCGAGATATCGAAAATTCTCTAGTATGGCTCTGAATCCTCGATTTCCCCAGGCGCTGGCCGATAAAACTAAGGTCGAAGTCTTCTACGAAACGCACTGTCCCGACTCACAGGCCATCATGAGGAACGGCGTTCAGAAGTCACTGCCACTGTTGGACGAGGTGAGAATCTCTCTCACTTCAGCTGGCATCGCTATGTCTCTGATGATCCGAGACCTGCTCACTCACGAATTAATGTTCACCACAGGTCGACATCGAGCTCGTTCCCTACGGAAAAGCCGACACTTCCGGACAAGGAGGCTCCCTTAGCTTCAGATGTCAACACGGACAGAAAGAATGTGAGTCTGCTGTGCGACTTCCGCTCATAATAGAAACGATTCCTCAGCTCAGAGATCCTGTTCTATAAGAGCTGCTCCACGCTGCAGGTGATGGCAACATGTATCATGCGTGCGCCATAGATATCCATGACGATAAAAAACAAGTGTTAGAGTTCGCGATATGCTCAATGAGTTATCGTCAAAAAGTCCTAGAAAACATCGAACAGGTGAGTGGTTCAATCGTGATAGGGAGATTCTCTCGTGCATCCCGAACCTGAGGGACGCAATGGAGTATGGTGAGGAAAAGTTACGATGATGCTTGGTCGTTTCCAGTGCGCCAAGCAGCACGGCATAGATTACGCCGCCCTCAAAGGATGTTTTTCGTCACAAAAGGTTAGTGGATTCTCTCTCAACGCTCCGTGAGCACTTGATTCGATACTACAGTCACGCTCTCGGGGGCATGATACACCCGAACAGATACGGAGCATTTTGGTAGCCTCGATGAAGCACCTTAATTATCTTTCAAGGGCAAAGATCTCCTCGCAAAAATGGGTCAGAAGACTCGAGAAGGTGCTAAGATTATCAACAAAACCGATCGTCTGGACTTTGTACCATCAACAATCATCGACGGAGTAAGTTCCTAGTCAATGCCGGATATGGTGATCCAACCATCGACTTATCGCCGCAGCACTTACTCGGATACCAGCCGGCGTCCTACGAACCAAATCCTGCAGTGCCTATTCTATTTTGACTCTGCGAAAGAGTCGCGATCTTCCGTTGATTGTTAGGGAAATCGAAACCAAGCACATCAGATGCTTGCTTTTTCGTCGACGCTGAACCGTTGATGCTTTGTGTCGCACTTCGCTAGCTCTGAGTGAATTTCTGGGGCGTTCAGAAGCAAGACTGAGCCGCTCCACTGGGCGACGCGTCAAGATTCCTCTGCGGCTTATTCGACGGTTCAACCAGCGGCGGACCCTCCGACCGCTGGGAATCCTATGCCGGGGTCGACGACTATTGACGATTCCGCTCCTCATTCGTTCCGAGCAAGTATTCCAGACAATGTAACGAGAGATTCATTTCAGGTCCCTCGAGTGTATGAATCTTACCCTGATCTCCGAAGGTCGGTTTGCGCCAACGCGAAGCAGAAGCCTTCACAATGCTGACAGCTGCGTCGGACTTTTTCCGAGCGAGCCCCGAACGCGCCAAATATTACAACTTTGTTATAGCGATTTCACCCGCAAATCCAGTCTATTTCTCCCTCGTTTTTGGGGCTGAATTATCAGAACGATCCCGATTGGGACCTGAAATGATTGTAAGGAGACGTGCCAGAGGCGAGCAGCGAAACACACGGGTCTGTACATGCGTCCTGGAAACACGCCTCACAATACGGGAATTCCGCGCTCGAATTCTATTGGCTCGGTATCGAAACCGACGTGTTTCCCTCTGCCCACGCGAGCGAGCGAACACACTGGTCTCCTCAACATTCCGCCAAATAGCTTTAGATGAGGATGGTGCAGATGTAATCGAATGAGTGTGGATTCGCCTATGAGGAACAAGCTCCCTATGGGTGAATTCCCCAATGATCGTGCGTGTAAATAATTATGCGAAGAATATTGGAACGAATAAAGAGCCATACGCATCGGGTTTCGGAATCACTGATGGGAAATCACTTCGATCCCAGGAAACCGTCTGAAGGAGAGTCGTAATCTCCGGCGATCTCTGCTCGTCGGATATCGTTCCTCAAGTACCTCCCTCCTCGTGCCTTATTCCGCTGGTCACATTTGACCGTCGAGTTGCTTTTCTGGCGTTGGAGAAATGATCGGCAGCGGGAACTGAAGCTCTCCAAGTTGATCGGCGTAGAACGCTTGAGCTAAGTTCTTCCGAACG